GAGAATGGAATCGGTCGGTCGCTTTTCCAATTCATTTACAATTGTAATATATAGATTAAGAAGAACTACCCGAAGGTAGCTGTACTCTGTACTCGGCAATAACGATTCAATAAACATCAGCTAATTGGACACTAACTACCACCCTTATCCCGAAATACTAGGCATCGACCCGAAAGCAGCCCAAAAAGATCTTTACAGCATGTGATCATGATGAAATTAATCGAAACTTATTACAATTTGTAAGCCGTGAACGAATGGGAAAAGCGAGCGACTGATTTCATTATCGGTATCATTTTGCATTTGCGGACGCAGGACGGTTATTCATATTAATATCATTTCCTTTTGTTTGGGAAAGAGAGACTCTGGCAGCGGTCCACTCTACCCATGATTATGGGTTTGGTCAAATTCATATCTATGATATTCTTACGATAATGATTTATGATAATGATGGTTACCTTGAGAAGTGGGTACAGGCGAGCGGTTGTTCGTGATAATCGGTAATTCTTCTGAGGTTATTCGGGGTGGGGACGTGCCAGCAGGGATCGAAGTGAGTATCTTTGGAAAATAGCCAGACGTAATGCCGGCCGGTTTGCCAAGTCTCAGTAGTATCAGGAATAGGCTAAGTCTCATACTATGCCAACATGAACATGGTCTATAAATATAATATATGATATATTTCAGGATCAGATAAGTTAAAACTGATATCACAATGCTGGCAAGCATGACCGTGCCTTTTATATTCACAATACTATTTACCCCCTTTACTATTTACCCCCTTTACTATTATACCCCCTTTATTATTACCCCCTTTACTATTATACCCCTTTATTGTTTTTCAGGCATTAAGACTCATCGAAAGTAGTTCAGCAGGTATATTTAAGTTCAAAACATTCTAATTCAATGTCAAAGATGACAGGAATAAGAAATAGTTATGTGGAGGTTTTTTAAGAAATTTGCGCAAAATTCGCGCCAGCATGTTATACAAAATTCGGTAAAAAACCGAAAATTGCCATATTCAGGTGCCTTAAAAACCATGTTAAAATTGAGTTAGAGATCTGAAACTTTGCAGGGCGTCTCGACGTTGACCAAATCGACTACAAAAAAAGTTTCAAGTTTCAGGAGCATTGGGAAGTGGATTTTCTAGAACCCCTGTTTTACGACAGATTGTCGTGATATATACATATATTCAGGGATAGACGCTTTGACAGTCAAATGTAGTCAATTGTATCCTAAATTTAAGTGTCCATAGATTCAAAAGTATAAAAGATACAGCCATTTCCGACCACAGGTCTTGAAAATAATTGTTTACACTTTAGTTCACATTGTATAAAAAAATTATTTGACGTCATGAACACCCCTTGATGACGTCATCAAGTTAACCGTTTTTAAAACTTGATTTTCGACAAAGTAATAACTTTTAAAATTGATTTAACACCATTTAAAAGTATTTTTTTTCAACATCTGAAGAAATTTTTATCTTTGCATTCTGAAAATCTACCGGAAAGTTTTCTTATCTTACTCCTTCATAAAGATATTTGCCTTTGAAGTTAGTGCTTTTTTGAAAAATTATTTTATAAAAACGTAAATTTTGCGATTTAGTATTCTCTGGTGTTGGGCTATCTCTTGGGTTGTGGAGCTCAGTTCTGCTTCCTATAGGTATAAATTGTGCATTAGGCTAGTTTTAAAGTTGAAAATCAAAAAGTTGCACACGTGGGGACACGCCCAAATTGATTAAAAATTGCTAAAATCACTTAAAATTGGTGTTTTCGCGATTTTTATCAACTTTGGAGTCCCGTTGTGATCCAAGTTCTATTTGAAATTTTTTGAAACTTTGCACGCTTATCAAACTATATATAAAATACCGCTATGCAAAAATTTACGGCGATTCAATATTAGATGCGCACGCAACGTCCGCTCAAAGTTTGCACGTCCGAACGGTGAGAATTTTGCTCATTCGTGATTTCGAACAAATTCTGCTTTACCACGACAGTTCAATGTGATTATATATGAATTTAATGGCACCTTGAATGATTATAATGTGTTATGTTCAGTCAGTGATAGACCGATATGCTTACTTAAACACAAGGAAATTTTTTAAAGGAAAAATTTCGAAATCGTTGAAACTTCCTCCTTATTAATGAAGACATCAGTTTATATTTCGACTTTATAAAGTATCCTGACATTATAATCAAAAAGAGATGATATTTGACCAAAACCCATAATCATGAGTAGAGTGGACCGCTGCCAGTGTCTCTCTTTCCCAAACAAAAGGAAATGATATTAATTTGATTGACCGTTCTCAAATGCAAAATGATACCGAGAATGAAATCGGTCGCTCGCTTTTCCCATTAATTTACAATTGTAATAGATTAAGAAGAACTACCCGAAGGCAGCTGTACTCAGCAATAAAGATTCAATAAACTAAAGCTAATTCACTAACTACCAGTACCACCCTTATCCCGAAATACTAGGTATATCGACCCGAACGCAACCCAAAGGAATTTTTACAGCATGTGATTGATTGTAAGCCGTGAATGAATGGCCATTCATTCACGGCTTACAATCAATCACATGCTGTAAAAATTCCTTTGGGTTCGCTCGCTTTTCCCGGGAAAAGCGAGCGACCGATTTCATTCTCGGTATCATTTTCCATTTGAGAACGGTCAATCAAATTAATATTAGGCGGTGCACGATAAAAATAAACTTGCTCGGATTTTCAAAATTTTTGTACCATCGTTTTCTAGAGACTGTGAGAATTTTCACAGTACCAAATTTATCATACCTTTTTGGAATGATCAGTGAGTTTCGCCTAGGTGCCATATTTGATGGTGCGCGGCTTTTGGAGCAAAATTAGGTGTAAAAGTCGCGTAATTTGACGAAATTCGTTGATTTTTGTCGTATTATTCTGTCATATCTTCGGTTCCTGAACATGAATCATGCTGAAAATTTGTCAGAACCTTCCAATCATACTTAACTACCGAACCTAATTTAGTTGGGAGAGATTGGCCTTGATTAAGAGGTCTAAAAATGACAAAATAGGTATAAATTCGTTGATAACTCAAATTCTGAGCATCGAAATTGCTCAAACTAAATTAGGTTCAGTAGAACATAAGTGTTTACGTAAGCTGACCAAATTTCAACAAAATTGTTATATGAGAAGTATTATAACTTTTCGATTGTTTCCAAAATAATGTGCTGGCCGAAATAAGAGCTAAAAAACCATTCAATGGTCAGCGCGCGCGTCATATTGTCGATGGCGCACTGCCTATTAATATCATTTCCTTTTGTTTGGGAAAGAGAGACACTGGCAGCGGTCCACTCTACCCATGATTATGGGTTTTGGTCAATAAATTATTATTAATTGTTTAGACGAAGAGCTTTTGCAAATTAAAAATTTGCTGATTTCATTAGTTGCAGTTCAGTCATTTGTATATTTACACGCTGATACTTGCTCTAACCAGAGCCCTCTCGCTTGCAGTAAGTAGCGCGCGACCGCGAAACAAGTTCGTCACGCAGTACGCGTATACAATTACACATGGCTATGTGAACGCTGATACTATTTTTTGATATTGATAAGTGAGATGAAAGTGTCAGTAAAGTAGTATTTCCAATTACTACTAGTAAATACAGAGTGGCCCAGCATTAATTATTAACGTATGGTCAGATTTATCACGAACAAGCTATGAAAACCCTAACTCTAAGTCTAAGTTAGTGATCAAGCTGATTGTCACAAGACCGGAAACGAAAAATAAATCGTGAGACTAAATAACTAAATAACTAAATAACTAAATAACTAAATAACTAAATAACTAAATAACTAACACAACTAATATAACTATAGTTATGTCTGATCTGGTTGATGAAGTATATCAATAAAATGTTTTAATGCCTCAAAATCTGCTTCGTTAAAATTCACGTTCGCAATGATTTGACTTTGAGTCAGGCAGATGTGAAAAGTAATAATTCCCATCACGTCTTACTCATAGTCATACGAACAATAAAATGAACAGTGAACAATTTAGTACGTTTCAAATGGTGTAGCACGTGATCAGTGAAACTCGCCAGGATCAGGTCACACGTGATGTTATTTGCTTTCATGGCTATGGTAGATGGAAGGACAGTCTATTTTGTCCTTTTGTCCTGTTTAACATAACATTAGGCATAACAAAAGCAAAATTAACGCACGTGTTACGTGGGGTATATCATTGATCAGAATATGTATCCGCTTCCAGCGTGCACTGCGATTGTTGAGTGCACCGTCCGATACAGAATACTAATACTAATAACATATTTTCACATCTGTCACGAGACTGATAACTGCCGGTTTAGCTTATGCGCTGCGCTCTTTTCGAGCTTCTCGCATTGGTGAGAGAAGCAAGCAATAGACTAGCAAGCTTGGTAAGCTAGTACTAGTAGGGAAGCTAGGTGTCTGAGGCATTTAAGGCTTGCTTAAATGCTACTTGCTATGCTAAGGACTATGATTAAGTGATCAGTGTAGGGTCGATGGTCATAATTTAAGGATGGAGCAAATAATTTTTGAGCATGCAGTATGTGATCTTCATCTAAATAAAGATGATAATTAATCACTATACACTCGAATAATGTTTATTGCAACCACAGATCGTAGCGATGCACTATTGAGCCGCTACGAGCTGTGAAGGATTGACCTTGAGCTGTGAAGGATTAATCAATCTAATCAATCTGAGTTGATTTACTCTGACCCCAAGTCTAACCCAATCAATAACTAGGTCTAGAGCATATATATATGCTCTAGACCTAGTTATTGATTGGGTTAGGGTTAGACTTTTAGCATATATGCTAAAACCCTAACCCGAGAAATTAGACCAACTTCATTATTTCGTCATGTCACGTGATCGAGACAGTTTTCACCGATATCTCGCCAGGCGGAGCATTTTAACACACTTTTACCCGTAACGTATCCAAATTTTCACAACAATGTAGATTGTACATTATTAAAGTTTTCTAAATAAAGGACGTGGTTATTATTCAAAAACAAGTGATATGATCCATCTACATTGACAGAAAATCGTGGCAATATATTATATCAACAACATGTCACGTGACTACCATATAAGGAGTGGCACGTGTTGGCGGACAAGGAGAGTTATAACGTCTTTTGTCGTCAATATAAAAAGTAAAGCAGCTCTTGTTAAACTCGAGGTCACGCGGTGGCCACCACGCGTGACGTCATCACGAGAAAACTACGTCACGTCATCACCACACCACGTGACTCAGGAAAATTCTTTTCACACAACTAACACTGTTCAGAGAGCCGTAGAAAAATAATATTAGAAAAGGTCAATTTTAAACCGACCCACAAGTCAACAGGTCCGGAAACAGAGCACCTAAACTCGAGGGCCGATAAATTAAAAAAGTCTCTCAAATTAACAATAAAAAGTTCGTGTTAGCGTCCATTTGACGGTCCCGCGCGTCACACCTGCAGCCCACGTGGGCGGCTGTGACGTCACAAGAACCGTTCCCTCCAGACTATCGGTGAGACCAGTAGTGTTTGGGGGTGGTGATTGAGGCACCCGGGTTCCTGGCCTGATCCATCCCTCGTTGTATGCTGCTTTGTGGCATCATTGCAGCTTGACCTTGACTCTGAAGATAAAGCTTGTGTTAGTCCTCTGATCTGGAGTACTTACGACAGGGACACTTTCAAAAAGTTTAACCAATGCTTATATAAAAGTTACTTTTGTAACACTGAGTAAGTGAATATTCATTAGAACACATCTCCATGACCATTTGAGCATGGTACAAAGATGGCCATGCTGAAAAACATAGACCTCTGTTACACGTGCAGTAGCGCAATTGCAGTAGTGCACGTGCAGTAGCGCAATTGCAGTAGTGCACGTGCAGTCGCGGTTCCACATAAAGTTATACCTGTTGCATGTGCTGGATATAGTTAGGAAACTGCATGTAACCCATGTTAAACACGTTCTTATCTCCCATCATCTTGGTGTAGTCGTTAGCAGTGGTAGCAGCCGGCAGATGGGATATACCTGGGGTATCAAATTAGAGGGTGTTTAGAGGGGTTTACACTTTACCTGGGGTATCAAATTAGAGGGGCTTCTAGAGGGGTTTACACTTTACCTGGGGTATCAAATTAGAGGGGCTTCTAGAGGGGTTTACACTTTACCTGGGGTATCAAATTAGAGGGGCTTTTAGAGGGGTTTACACTTTACCTGGGGTATCAAATTAGAGGGGCTTCTAGAGGGGTTTACACTTTACCTGGGGTATCAAATATAGGGGGCTTTTAGAGGGTTTACACTTTACCGGGGGGGTATCAAATTAGAGGGCTTCTAGAGGGGTTTACACTTTACCTGGGGTATCAAATTAGAGGGGCTTCTAGAGGGGTTTAGAGATGGATATACAATACATTTAACATGATATTGGCACTTCGAGGCACCCAGTTATTGGATGTCCGATGGCTATAGCTGTATAGAGTTATGTCCTGTTACTATGAATAACTGATGAATAGATGTCCTGTTATAGTTACTATGAATAACTGCTCAATAGATGTCCTGTTACTAGATGTCCTGTTACTAGATGTCCTGTTACTAGATGTCCTGATAAAAGTACCCACCGGGATGTTTGGCAGCTGCAGTCCCTCCGTACAGTTCCTTGTAGTCTGACTCATACTGTCCGAATTGAGAACTGGCTGTCTCGGACGAACCAAATGTGTTCGTTGCGGGGTAACTCGGCCTGAGAGAGATGACCCAATTAGTGAATTAGTAAATCAATAGAATATTAGATATAATATAGATAAGTAAATTAGTGTATAAATGTATCATCAAAATATGAAAATAATCTCAACGAACACAAGAAAGTTAAAATGTTTCTAAAAAACCACTCACACACTGTGAGACTGTTTCTGGGTCTGCGCGTAGTTGAGCTAACCAGGTAACTAAGTAACCAGGTAACTAAGTAACCAGGTAACTAAGTAACCAGGTAACTAAGTAACCATGTAACTAAGTAACCATGTAACTAAGTAACCAGGTAACTAAGTAACCAGGTAACTAAGTAACCAGGTAACTAAGTAACCAGGTAACTAAGTAACCAGGTAACTAAGTAACCAGGTAACAAGTAACCAGGTAACCAGGTAACTAAGTAACCAGGTAACTAAGTAACCAGGTAACTAAGTAATCAGGTAACTAAGTAACCAGGTAACTAAGTAACCAGGTAACTAAGTAACCAGGTACCTAAGTAACCAGGTAACACACAACAACAAGAAAGTTTAAATGTACTCACACGCTGTGAGACTGTTTCTGGGTCTGCGCGTAGTTGAGCGCAGCGGGACTGAAGGGGTGCGCGTAGTAGTTAGCAGTGTAGAGGTTGTTAGGATAAGGGTGTATGGGGTGGGGGTAGTGGTACCCCAGCAGGGGTCCGGGGTAACCACCGCTTAGTCCGGTGGGGGCTGCAGTGGTGGAGGATATTCCTGATGTTATCCCTGCTCCTACTGTGGGAAGAAGGGGTTACAGCGGGTAATTTAGGTTTATTATTTAAAGGATTGTTTTCCGGAATCCTTGAGAAATTAACTGTGAATAGCTTTGAAGAATATTAAGAGAAATATCTTACTTTCATACTGGGTCGAAATTAACAGAATTATCAATAAGTTATAATACAACTCGTTGTCTCCTGGAGTATATAAGTTTACAAACCATGAGGAGGCTGATGTGAGTTGGAGGATAGTTGTAACTCGCTATTCCTGTGACTGCTGTAGTGTTTCTCCTGACTCACTCCAGAGCTGAACCCACTGCTCTCAGCTGGGTGCTGTTGCTGAGCTTGTTGCTGCTGCTGAGCCTGTTGCTGAGCTTGTTGCTGAGCCTGTTGCTGCTGCTGAGCCTGTTGCTGCTGCTGAGCTTGTTGCTGAGCTTGTTGCTGAGCCTGTTGCTGCTGCTGTTGCTGAGCCTGTTGTTGCTGAGCCTGTTGCTGCTGCTGAGCCTGGAACAATAATTTGGGTTAACTTTTGAATCAGATATTACAATGTGTTTTCTGTAAAGGACAGAGTTCCTAACACACCCTCTCCACAAGGAAACACACCTGTCTCTGAGGATGGTGCACGTCGAAGGAGCTGCTGTTGCTACTGCTGTAATATCTCGACATATCGTAACTCATACCACTCGACTGTGTCTGAATATTTCAAAGTGATGGTTGGGAACTGAGGCCAGGGAGAGTAAATTTCAAGTCAGCCATACTTTCTTAATTCTAGAACAAGAAAAAGTAGTAAACTGATGATTTATCACCGAAAATTTAGTGAACGATTTTAAATCCAAATTCCGAGAACACTAAATAAAGATACATTGGGAAACTGCCCAAAAAGAATACCAACCTGCTGCTGAGCCTGATGCTGCTGAGCCTGATGGTGAACACTGCTAGCAGCACTATCCCCATAGTACATACTACTACCGCTACTTCGCAGATTACTTGTGGGGTACACGCCTGGTGGCAGGCTCTTCTTCTGAGACATTCCAAAGGAGCTTTGCACGCTCGCTACTGCTGCCTCTTCTTCCGGTAACGAGTGGTTCGTTATCAGGTTGTTAGCTGAAGTTCGGGTGGTTAATGGTTCGTTAGCTGCACAGTGCACAGGTGGTGGTTTTAGTTTTTTGAAACATTAATGGTTGAAGGAAAGTGAGTTTATGGGACCATGCTCTCCATCTTCCAAACTAGTGCGCGTCCGATGGCTGCGCCTGTTTAGAGCTGGCGTTTTTCAGAGATGTATCAGTCGTGCCTGCAATTCAGAACTGTCAACAATTAGTAAGCATTTATCAGTAAATTCACTCTCACGCCATCCCCGTTAATAACATGTCTTTCTCCTAAATTTAGCTCAAAAGTTGTAAACCATATAACATTTTCAGTTTGCAACCTCAAGTGTTTCCAGAAGCGAAAACAATGACGTCAACATCAATAGCATCCCGCATCTCGACAGTACGATGAAGTTCCTGTGTCACTCCTTTGCACCTACCACGTGTAGGACGAAGTGGAGAAGTAGCTAAGAGATGGGCGCTGCTCAATCGGGTAACTGATCGTCTTGTTGCTATCTCGTGCACTAGGTGTGGTTGAGTAAGTAAGGGAGGCAAACGTGATAACAAATGATTCTTTATCTATCGACCATTCAATGTGCGTACCTAACAATATCACTTTTGCAATACTGATATCGACAGACCTACATTAAATTGAAAAGATCCATAAAAGACCTGACCACATTTAAAACTCACCGTTTCTGATGTTGTCAATGTTGGGTGGAGGGAGGTTGGGTGGGGGAGCGGGCTGAGTTAGTCCTGCACTCTGCTGTACTAACGAACTGCCGCTCTGAGCCAGGTGCAGGGAAGAGGACAACGTTGCCGGCTGGTGCAACGACGCTGATTGGTGCAACGAAGTAGGTTGATGCATCGAGGTAGGTTGATGCATCGAGGTTTGGGACGCTGATACCGTCGTTTTGGACGGGTAGCTAGCCACCGACTGAGATGGGCTCTGCTGGTGTACACTAGTCGGAGTGGACTGGCCCAGGAGTTGCCTGGGTTTACTCGTTTCCGGTTCCTTTACCACCTGGTGTATTCCGGGGATAGAGGGTTCCGTCTCCACAGAACTGTGCGGCGTCGTGGATGTGGCTGCGTCCGTTTTAGAGGCGGGCGTTTTGTCAGGAGATGTTATCAGGTCGTCCTGCAATTCAGATGTCAACTTAGTAAGTCATTATATCAGTAATTCACTCTCGACGCCAGTCCCCCAGGTTAAATAAAATGTCTTTTTCCTAAAATTTAGCTCTAAAAGTAGTTAAACCATAATCAAATTTTCAAGTTGCAAACCTCAGTGTTATCCAAGAAGCCGATAGAACCAAACTGGACGTCCAACGATTCAATAGCACTCCCCGGCATCTCGACAGGCTCGGATGGAATGGTTCGCTGTGCCCGTTTGGACTTACGACCACTGTTGGTGGACGAAGTGGAGGAAGTAGGCGGAGAGGAGGGTGCTGCTTCCTCAATCGGGGGTACTGATCGTCCGTTGTTCTTCTCGTGCATCTAGGGTGTGGGTTGAACGTAAGTAAGGGAGGGAGACGGGTAGATGGAAACAAATGTATCGTTAGATCTACCTGGAACATCAGGATGATGCGGTACCATAAACCATATCAACTGGTTGTCACATACTGTAATATCGATGTTAACCATAAAAGGGTTTCACCACTTTGCTATACTGCAACAAATTAATGAGAAGATGGCTTTGTGTTATGGAAATAAAACTTGACATGATCCCCCACCCCCCCCCCTCCCTCCCACATGGCCTTCAAATAACCTGAAATAGCTGCTCGACGGATATTTTCCTGCCGTTTGCTGCCAGATTACCACTACCTCCACTTTTACTGCTCAGAGCTTCCTGGATCTTCAGCAGATTACTTGTACCCGGGGCTTGTTCGTGCCGGGTGTCGTAGTCTCCGCTTACGCCTGTAGAGATATTTACTGAACGCTCATTGCCTTACGCCTGTAGAGATATTTACTGAACGCTCATTGGCTTACGCCTGTAGGGATATTTACTGAACGCTCATTGGCTTACGCCTGTAGAGATATTTACTGAACGCTCATTGCCTTACGCCTGTAGAGATATTTACTGAACGCTCATTGGCTTACGCCTGTAGGGATATTTACTGAACGCTCATTGGCTTACGCCTGTAGAGATATTTACTGAACGCTCATTGGCTTACGCCTGTAGAGATATTTACTGAACGCTCATTGCCTTACGCCTGTAGAGATATTTACTGAACGCTCATTGGCTTACGCCTGTAGGGATATTTACTGAACGCTCATTGGCTTACGCCTGTAGACATATTTACTGAACGCTCATTGGCTTACGCCTGTACAGATATTTACTGAACGCTCATTGGCTTACGCCTGTAGATATATTTACTGAACGCTCATTGGCTTACGCCTGTACAGATATTTACTGAACGCTCATTGGCTTACGCCTGGGGGATATTTACTGAACGCTCATTGGCTTACGCCTGTAGAGATATTTACTGAACGCTCATTGGCTTACGCCTGGGGTAGAGATATTTACTGAACGCTAATTGGCTTACGCCTGGAGTAGAGATATTTACTGAACGCTCATTGGCTTACGCCTGGGGTAGAGATATTTACTGAACGCTCATTGGCTGGGTTGGGGCACGTAATATGAATACTGTGATATTATGATAGCCAACGGAAATTTAAACCATTATTTCATTTTGTGTCCCTGGAAATTCTTTTTAATTCGCATATTTACCTACTACTACTAATTACTATTTACTATAACATCCTACATACCAGAGTGAGCGAACATAATTATATTTGTATCATATTTGTCACTGATGTACTAATCTCATGATTACAAATTAATACATTATTTAAAATACTCTGATGATGTCAACTCCTTGAACCTAAAATAGTTTCTTACAATTCACAGTTAGGGCACACGAAAAAAGATACAATCTCCGGACCTGCTAACATTAAAAGCTTATCTTCAGCTATCACCGGACTAGCTGATTTTCGGAATTTGGCCTGTTTCACACACAATAACATTATATTTAATGGACAAACGAAACTTCGGACAAACATGATTTTAACGAACCAACACTGGACGTGAGTTCCACTGTCTATAAACTTACTGGAGGGTGGCTGAGAGAAGGGGAAGGAGAAAGAGGAGGAAGTAGACGGTGCGAAGTCAGAGGTACCCAGCATGGAGCTGAGAGGGCTGCTGAATGCTTGTGTATACGCAGGTCGCTTGTGAGTCAAGTTATCGAACTGACCGTTGGAGGTCTCCTCTGCGCTGGTGGGCCACGCTGCCGGTTCTGAGGGGGCCGGTTCCAGTGTTTCTGAAGTCGTGGGTGCCAGCTGCTCCTGTGGAAGATAAGCTTGAGAAAAGGGGCGTGTCATGTTGTGTGGTTCCAGATCAAGGTTTCGGGGGATTAGGGTTCTCATATGGGTAAAGTGACCAAGCTCATTGTTGACCTGAACCTGAATATCAAACCTTTTCGGATGATGAAGTTGGCCAAGATACTTCAGGAGGACTGACCGAGGGAGGCTGTATTGCGGTAGAGTCTGTCTTCTCTGAAGAGGTCCAGTTATCATCTGGGGCTCCCCATCCTGAAAACAGTAAAATATAGTTGGGACACTAGTTAGAATATATATGTAAATAATAAGTTTTCATTAAAGAGGGGGGGGGGGGGGGCAATGGCATAAAATGGCATAAAATGGCATAAAATGGAGACTATTTCTATGGAGAAAATGGAAAAACCTATGAGTAATTCTCCATTTTCTCCATTTATGCCATTGGCCCCCCCCCCCCCCCCCCCCCCCATTAAAGATCGGATTTTCATGAATACCAAATAAGACCCCAATGATTAAAGTAATGATCCCTAAAAAGCCCTCTAACAAGCTTGAGTCAAGTTTAAAAGTAATGAACTCGTCCTTACCTGAAGATTGGTCGGCTGGCCAGCGGGCGGTAGTATCTGACTCAGTATTCCAGTCTGATTCCTTTTTCCATTCCGAAGGAGGGTGACCCGTTCCTTCTGATTCTGTTCCATTATTATTCCGCCAACTGAATATCGCCGTAAATTAGTTATGCAGCTTCGATTTAAATGTAAGTGTATTCATAACATAGGGGTGGACAAGCCATTTTTTTAAAAGCAACAAATCAAAAATTTGTAATTCTGTAGACCTGTAGTATTAAAATATAACAATTCTCCCGTCCCCCAACGTACTCATGATAGTCGTAGTCGTTTCCTGTGGGGCGCTTTGCACCTCTGTTGTTATGACGATATGAGCCGTTGCTACGACCACCACGGCCACCGCTACGAATGCTATCTGGACGACGAGGTTCCCCGTCTTGGGATCGCTGTCTGATATCCTCGTTCGAATTCCTTTGTCTGATGGGTTAATTAATTGATTTAATGTTTAATATCGTTGAAAAGTTATTCCTTTTCATCTTTGGGGTCGTTCAATCGTTGTATTACGTCAGCAACCTTTCATTTGTTTTAGGTCCCTCCAGCTCACAATTTTCCTTTTTACTTCAAAGTCTCACATTGACAACAAATCCTAAAGAGCACCCCAGATTTCATTGAGAAAACAAACCTGTCCATCCTAGGAGGAAGTTGACGTTTGCCACCACGACCCCGACTGCTGGTACCACCACGAGTACTGACGCTGTTACCACGAGACGTGCTGACGCTGCCGCCGCGCGACACCGAGCTGGTTCCACGTGCTGAGCGCGTACTTCTGCTCCGGTCTGTGTCCCGGGTATCTTCTGATTTCGTGCTACGTCCTGCAATACGCGTTATCATTCGTTGTTACTTGTTACTATGGTATAACATCTATAACATATATAAGGGTGCCAACAAAATAAGAAATGGATTTAATTTCTCGTTGCAGTATGGAATAAAAGCGAACAATCCATTTTAGAAAAATATGAAAAAGAAGTTCCGACGCCGGGAATCGAACCCGGGTCTTGTGGGTGAGAGCCACAGATGCTAGCCCCTACACCACGCCGGAGATATACAGAGAGTAAATCATTTTGAACAGATTTACTTTATGATTAGAAAGAAGTAGGACGCGCGGGTCATGGACGTGAACTGCAAATGACATCATTGATGACTTAAGGAGATTATCGCTATTTCATTTTAAATGTCACGTTATCCGTACCGGAAAACTTATGTGGCGCGTTAACAGCAATAATCAAGAAAGCAACAAAAGGCCTACCCCTGTCGGTTTTTGATGTTGATCGTTTAGACTTGGCATCTACAATTTCCTGTTGAACTGCTTTCTTTTCAGGACGAACTTTCTTTTGTTTTGTAACCCATTCTTCTGAATTCCCTGAAATTAGCGGGTAATTAAAAATCAATAGTGAAGGCGTTTAATGAATGGAACATACCAAAAGATAAAGTATTCGCAGTTAAGGGGTGTTTGATTGGCCGACCGAAACCTTATATTTATCACAGTATTAAACTGAAGACACAGTTGGCAATTCAGTTGTTTATTAGTGAATCAGACTATTAATAGAAGCAGTCACGCGCAGTCTGCCTTGACAGGCAAAATGTGCGCGCGCAACCGGACTGAAGCCCGCGCAAAAAGCAGTTAGCTTTTTACAGAAATTAGGCCTTTAACTGGCAATGATGTACTCTATTTTGAGCGCGCGCGGGAAAGTCGGTTACGCATGTAAATAGAATTGATAGCCAAGTTATGGACTCAAGTTCAGTATCATGTTTCAATTTCACGAATGATATCCGGGATATTCCAAATTGAAAGATCGGTTGGGTTATTAAAACATAACAAGATGGGAAATCCAAGATAGCGACCCAAATACCGAAACCTGCGGATCCATCTGAAACCCCAAACTGAATATGCATGCTATTTGATGGCCTGGAACTGTTCTTCTAGACAATTCGACGCGTTCCAGAATTTTATACATTATGCTCATAATTACAAGATCCAAGTTGGGCAAGTCGCGGCCAATTTCTCCCATTTAAATGAACAGTTTACACGCTGTTTAAATCGTTAAGCTACAATGTGTATAGTTCAAGTTGCGTCATGCATTACTAATTACTCAGCTGATTAAGAAACGGCCGTTAGTTTCAAATATTTGAGTTGACGCTTTCACCAAAAGCCGCAGCTTTTGGGTTGAAAGAAGCATGTTTTGTGTCATTTAAATCGAATTAGATTCGAAACTGTTTATTGTAAGACGATACATAGTTTCTACAATGGAATTACTAACTCTTCTTCTCGATGCTAGTGTGTATAATTCTATCATAAAGTGAAAAAGTGTTACAGTAGGTGTCCAAATATTGTGACTCGTGGGGGGGGGGGGGGGGGGGGGGGGTAATGACTACCAATGGAGACTTTTGGGGACTAATGGGGACTAAAAATCATGGGGACTAGAGGTCAACTCGTTGACGTAATTCACCATTTGTCCCCATAAGTCCCCAGAATTTTTGACAGTTATTTATGGTTTTCAAGTTAGTTTAATAACGATACGATCGAGATGTTTTGTCCAAGATAAGAGTAGGATAAATCTAAATGGGGACTAATGGAGACTTTTGGGGACTAATGGGGACTAAAAATCATCTAAATGGGGACTAATGGAGACTTTTGGGGACTAATGGGGACTAAAAATCATGGGGACTCGGGGTAAAATCGTTGACGTAATTCCCCAAGTCCCCAAAAGTAGACATTACCCCCCCCCCCCCCCCCCCCGACTCGTGACATTGTGAAATTAAATGCTAATTTCTAACTTGGTTTTTGTAACAAATACAGTGAATTTTCAGATCTTATTTTCATGACTTTGATAATGACACTAACAATGTTAGATTACCCACTTAAATACCAATTAAATACCAATTAAATCTTCTGTCAATTAATACTGTGACCACGTTCAACTACAGCTCTGTTACTACTACTCATTAAAGAAAAGTAACATTATCAACATTAACTTACCATGCGTACAACACTGAATAATATATTATTAGTATATTTTAAACAAAACTTTCTAGCTTCACATCCTAGAGCGGGCTACACTTTACACTTATATCATTATATATACTGCTATATAGTTGTCAACATACTTTCCAAGAAGTGTAACAGAAAGTTTGTCAGTTACATTGCACAGCTTGTATTGTCACATTTACCGAGCAAGGCATCATGGGAACACATGATCTATTATACGATAATGACGAATATTATTAGTGTACAATAGGTTTGTAAAGGGCATACACTGTATATGTGTCATTATGGTGGTATAATATGTATACTCATTGTTGACTATTACGAATAATATATATGCGGGCCAGTTTTAAAGTTGTACATATTGCATAATGTACTTGACAACACTAGAGAGCTAGAGGTATTACAGGGCGTTCGTGCTTACAGTATGTATGGGGCCGCCTAGAAATTAATATATTATAGATGTATAATTTTCCCGCAGCATACATTAATAATCAGCCAGTTACAGATTACTATTTAATTAATACACATAAACAAGCACATTGTACACACATAAACAAGCACATTGTACACACAAACACACGTACAAACACACGAACAAACACACAAACAAACACACACACACACACACACACACGAACAAACACACGCACAAACACCTGTACTATAAATACCCGGTAGTCACCATGAAGCAATTTGTAGAGAAAAACACTGTTTAAATCTAATTAGCGAAATTTATAATTGAGTAGCGCTAAACACTGCACCACGTACTATGTATACAGTGAAGAGGAAGCTGATTAATCAAAAGAAGTGTTACCTTGGCCTGGGATAGACAAGGGGGGGAACATGATCCCCCCCCCCCCCCCTGGACAATCTACAACTTTATAAAGATTTATTTAACTTAAATTTATAAAACATAAGTCATACATTGGACATTAGAAACTCTTTTAATATGTACAATGTGTGACTTAAATACATTGTATGTACAATAAATGTATACAAATTCATTAAAAAAAACCGTGGGTGCCGAAATTTCGTATAATTTACAAAGTATTCTACAAAGTACATGTACAAACTATTTGTACAAAGTATTTGTAAAAAGTATTTGTACATATTATTTGTAAAAAGTATTTGTACATATTATTTGTACAAAGTATTTGTTGAGTATTTGTTGAGTATTCGTTAAGTATTTGTTGAATATTCGTTAAGTATTTGTTGAGTATTCGTTAAGTATTTGTTGAGTATTCGTTAAGTATTTGTTGAGTATTCGTTAAGTATTTGTTGAGTATTCGTTAAGTATTTGTTGAGTATTCGTTAAGTATTTGTTGAGTATTCGTTAAGTATTTGGTGCACGTTATCTCATATAACGTGCACAGATCTCTTATCACTACTTTCAATTCGTTTTAAAAATCTTGCTCTGCCTGTTTATTGAAATTTGAAGACATGTCTCATCATGGCAATTCTCAACAAAACTCGGATCGCCGACAGAGCAAGGCTTCCCGTAATTCCTACTGTCCCGTGACTTCTCAGTTTGGCAACGGTTATCAGCACGATCAGATGCCACGTCAACAACTACAACAGCCACAGCTACCTCACTTTTCCAACGGTGAGTCAGAACTAAGATCAGTTCAAGAGTTATGGAAATTTATGCAACATCTAGAAACCGAACTTAGTATAGCTCGTAGTGATCATGCTAAATTGTTGGACGACTTCGTGGAACTTCGACACGTTAACTCAAAGCTCAGCAAAGTTGTCGATCGTCAAGCGGAGGCGATCTGCAAACTAGAAGTGGAACTAGATAATTTAGATCAATACTCACGTAGGGAAAACGTTTGTTTTACCAATTTGCTAGTTAATGAGAGCAATAGTTGTGAGGACCAAGTGGTCTTGTTGTGTGAACAGTTAGGTGTGGACATTGTTAAGGATGACCTTGTAGCCGCTCATCCCTTGAAGGGCAAGAAGGGTAAAGCCCCTAGGTTTATTGCTCGCTTCAAAGATAGATCAACAGCACAGAAAGTGTTTAGAAATAGGAAAAGCACTAAAAACATTTCCCCAGATAAAAAGAAATTGCTGTTTGAGAACCCCGAAAAGGGTGTCGGGGTACAGCCCAATATAACATATAAACGAGCGGCATTATTAGGGCAGGTCAACGATGCTGTCAGATTTGCTGGACTAAACTCTTGTTGGGTTGACTACAAGAATGGGAATGTTTTATTGAGAATGAATGCTAACGGTAATCCTAAGCTGATTAGGAATACTGCTGATTTGTTGATTTGTGTGCCTACTTTTGAACCTAAAGAGTTTTTGTTTTGTGAGAGCCCCTTTTTGAACAATACTGAATTCACACCGTGGGATGAATATTTCTAATACAACTATTTTTCAGATTTTAATATTTCTAACAGAGAGTTATGGATGACGGAGTTTCAAACATGACCCTTCCCAACATCCTCATACCCTCTGACCGTAAGCAATGCGTCTTCTGTCATAAAATTTTGTACTTTCACCAATTCATTCTACGTTGCAACAACTGTAAGGACATATATCATGGATCTTGTTTAAAGCTAGACAATAGTACCATATTTATACTTCAGCAATTTGTATGGTATTGTAAAATATGCTATGACGATTATATTGAGTATTATAAGTGTGTGACATGTTTAACAAATATTGATATATTTAATGAAAAGATTGCACAGTGTAAACAATGTTTCAAAATGTTGCACAAGAACTGTGTTAAGTCTAATATTTGTTCGTCATGTATGCCCTTACCCTTACTTGACTTAAACACTGCTACTACCAGTACTGTTGAATATATTGAAACTGATTTTTATTCCGAACAACCGTTCTTTGCTCCTTTTGAATATTATTACAATGAAATGATAGATTTTATCCCGGATGTTGAAACTCTTAGCGAGAATTTACAAGATTGCAGCCAGATACTGCGTCAGTGCGTCTATTATAAGTTAGATGATTTTGAAGAAAAAATGAACGACAATGGATTATCGTTATTAAGTTTGAATATTGATGGATTCAGATCAAATTTTGACTGCTTTTTAGTGCACCATGGACGTTTCAAAGCTGATGGATATTTCCTTTGTGAAACTAATGTAACAGAACATGAGGCACAACCATTTTACATACCGGGTTATAATAAATTTGTACTTAATCGATTATTGAAGGAGGATGGAAAGCTTAAACACAAAGGTTCTGGTTTGGTAACGTTTTTGCGTGACAAATTTAATAATATTAATCAAAAATTTGAGCTTTGTTATTCTACCGTTGATTTTGAATCACTTTGTGTTGAAATAACAGTTAAATCTGAAAAGTTACTAGTTGTTAATTGTTATAGATCACCAAGTGGAAACTTTGATTCATTTATCGATATGTTTGGCAGTATCTTAAGTAAATTGAACACATTTAAGGGACACAAAAGCTATATTCTTGGTGACTTTAATGTAAATCTATATAACTCCAATTCTAGTGTTGTTAGGAGATATTTAGACTGCATGTTTAGCAATAACTTTTTACCAATTATCTCACGTGCTACTCATTTTGGAGGCTTAAATGGCACATGTATTGATCATATACTTACTAACAATATATCTAACATAATTTGTAACGGCCTTATACGATGTAATATAAGTCGTCACCTTCCTACATTCGTAGTTTTGGACTATAATTTTGATCCTAACGAAAAGTGTAGAAATAGAAATAAAGTAAATATTAATGACTTTTTATTACAAGGGTTTTTAAATGATTTTAAATTATTAAAATTTGATCTTGAAAGTGATTCTGCCGAAAATATGTATTCCTTTTTTGACAGAAATTTTAGAACTCTGTATGATAAATGGTTTATTAAAAGTCAGAAGTCTAGTGGTAATAATTCTCTTCTTCGCTCTGATTGGATTTCAATAGGAGTGGCCAAGAGTAGTGACACTAAAAACAAACTGTATGATATTTGGGTTATGAATAAAACTAGAGTTAATTGGAACAAATATGTTGATTACAAACGAGTGTTTGATGCTATTAGAAGTAAAGAAAAATTTGAGTATTTTGATAAATGTTTTAAAGCAAATCAACATGATTTGAAAAAGACTTGGAAACTGATAAACGGTTTGCTAGGTAGGAAGAGATCAAACAGATTACTAGTTTTTCCTAATCAAGATGCAGCGCATAATTTTAATTATTATTTTGTTAATATTGCTAATGATCTTTTACTAAAAACGTATGGTGAAAATGCTAACGCGGATTTAACAGATTTTAATAAATATATGCCTGAGAGGAACATAAGCGAGCTATCGGATATTAATTTTTCAAGTGAAGAAATAAATAATATTATAAGTAAGCTTAATAATAGCAAGGGTACGTATTATTCTCCTAGGGTCCTCAAACTTTTAGCTACCACTATAAGTCCTTTACTGGCTGATATTTTTAATAAATGTGCAAATGAAGGTTATTTTCCGAAAGAATTAAAAGCAGCAAAAATAATTCCTTTGTATAAGAATAAAGGATCTATTTCTGATATAAGCAATTATCGTCCTATTTCAATGTTACCTGTTTTTGCTAAGATTTTCGAGAAGTTAATACATAAAAACGTATCTGATTTCTTTAATAAGCACAATCTTTTCTGTGATAATCAGTTTGGTTTCCGCAGTAAGCACTCAACCTTTCATGCACTTGTTTCAGCAGTAGAAAATCTTCATGATGCTATCGATAATAAGAATTTTACATTAGGTATATTTATAGATTTTTCCAAAGCTTTCGATACAGTGCGGCATAATATTTTGTTAGAAAAGCTGGAGAACTATGGTATTCGAGGAAATGTCATTAAATTATTAAACAGTTATTTATCAGATCGGGTTCAGTATGTTAGCTATGGGGGATTCGAAAGTTGTCTCTTAAAAATAACCTGTGGTATTCCACAGGGGTCAGTGTTAGGCCCCCTGCTCTTCATTATTTTTATCAATGATTTGGCAAATATTTGTGAGTTAGCTAAATTTATCCTCTTTGCGGATGATTTAAACCTTTTTCTTCAAAATAAAGACCGAAATTTACTTTACAAAAATGCTAATGAGGTATTATCAAAGATTCACGAATATTGCTGCTTAAATAGGTTAATCATTAATTTTGAAAAATGCTGTTTTATGGAATTCGGAAATAGTAAAGTTCCTAAGAATCAAAAGTTTGTTGGAATACTTAACAACCAGTTTAATCAAGTGAATAAGTGTAAATTTTTGGGAGTCATTATTAATTCAAATTTAACGTGGAATGATCATATTACCAATGTAATAACGCAAGTTTCAAAATCTTGCGGATCACTCTACTCCATAAGTTCTATAGTACCAGCTAAAGTGTTAAGACAAGTATATATTTCACTTGTTCAACCATATTTAATGTATTGTATACCACTGTGGGGTGCTGTTTTTCACCATCCTTTGCTGCAAAAACTGTTTGTGTTGCAGAAAAAATGTATTCGTATTGTGAGTAGGAAAACAATAAAGATTGATCACAAGTTTCAAAATACTAAACCAATGTTCTTTCGTTTGAAATTATTAACCTTGTTTAACTTATTTACATACTTTACTGGATGTATTGCAATGAGGCTACTTAAAGAACAAATTCCTATTGATGTTTATCGCCGGTTTAGCAAGTCAAGTAGATCATGCAGACTGCTATATCCTAAATTCTCAATGTCTAAGACCAAGAATAGTAATTTTGTTTTTAATGCATCCAAAATTTTAAATTATCTCCTTGATCATGATGTACCGTATCATATTTTGTCAATTTCACTATTTAAAAAGAGATTTAAGAACCATTTGCTTCATATACAAAACCTAGGGCTAAATGGGGATCATGGATGGCTACCATGTAATCACGATATCTTCTCGAATGTATCAATTTCATAAAATAAGTTAATTTCAACTAGGGAAATATAAATTGAAGTTAATGTTTTGGGGACGTTTGTGTGTTTTTTGTGTGTATTTTATTGTGAGTATTTAAAACAAGATAGGGACTATAATTGTAACGGTTTAAGTGTATACGTCTTTATTAATGTTGCCTCCGATTTCACTACACTGACAACATTCACTTTTTATTTTTTGTGTTATTTTTTACTTGAGATCTCATATCATAAAATTTTACCATCGCGATACGGGTATTAATTTACCTCCCAGCGGTGAGACACCGCTTCCCTCCATAGCCATGTTTGAAGCTCTCCCATCATCTGTTCTACTTCAGAGGGAAGTGATTTATTTTATATTTTAAAATTGTTATTATTCCAGTATAACAAATAAATTTTCTAATCGTGTAAAAAAATCGTGTAAATCGTGTATTAAGTCAGTCCTCAGTGGTATGTAGTGCATTCTTTGTACAATCTCCGGAATATAATGAGCAGCTATGGAATTCTTCTCACCTCATTAATTACTTATTAATTACTTATTAATTACTAACTTTGACACATTCTGATTAGATTTGATAATAACATTTGTATGTTTTTGCTTTTGGCGTACAAGTCAGGTGGAAGAAATGACGAATTCGAACAACAATCAAGAGTAAGAAAATATGTGATAAGGCCTGGTGGAATTTAACAATATTTAATGATCATACAAAAGAAAATTACTAATTATTATGATGTGGTATTTTACATAATTCAGAATATACTAATTTTCCTTTGATTATCTCATACTCCCCCAATTTGTTTAAAACTGAAGATTCCAAGCCTCGTTTGTGCACACTACGTCACACACTACATCACACACTACATCACACACTACGTCACACACTACGTCACACACTACGTCACGTTACATAAAAAGTGAAGCTTTCATGTGATAAAGTATGCCAGATCACAAGAAACTGTCCTGTTTCTGCAAGATGATTGGATAGCAGAGGTCACGTGTCACAGATTGTGAATAATATTAATGATTTGTTTATAAAAAGAGTCACTGTGTTGTCTACTATACAGTGTCTAGACAATTAGCACGTGACTTAACTCATGATACGAGAAATATGATTTATTTGTTTTCAGAGTTTTAGTACCCAGAATTTGCCCTGTACGTCTGTATTCCTTGTATTCCTTCAAGTATTCCTTAGCATGATAATATCATGTATGTGACGGCTGGAATGGAACCTGATATAATCACCGTCTGGAAATTTGTTTACGTAAACTCAATGAATACCTCAACAAATTAATAACTAATAAATTGATTAATTGGTGATAAATTGGTAACTGATTTTAAGATGAACGAGATGCAGTGAAACGTGTCAGATCATGTGCACAGTTTTTTTTTCCCGCCTAAATTTACCAATTACAGTAAAACCCCGATTTACCGTACTTCTCCCCTTTCCCCCAGAATTTTTGAAAAAATGTCCACCTTTTTAGTTATATCACGTGATCCTTTAAAACCAATTCTGTGCGGAGAGAAGATTGAGTGTATTATGACAGTGAAGCAGTGACGTAACGTTGCATGATGTGACGTAACGTTGCATGCTGTGACGTAACGTTGCATGATGTGACGTAACGTTGCATGATGTGACGTAACGTTGCATGATGTGACGTAACGTTGCATGCTGGTGCCCCCCCCCCCCCCTGGCACCCACCCTGCCTGAGGTAGAGCAAGGGACGTGAAGAAGGATTGAAACTTTGCTGAACTATTTAATTCTAGCACACAGAAGCGATTGTAAAGTAACATTACTTGTGATTATATATCACACGTACGTATAGCAAGCATAGTTTTTTAAACATCAGTGTGTACTATCAGTGCAGTGTATAATGTATATCGCATGTACATTGTATACTGTATACTGTACAAGATATGAAGTTTTAGTACACTGAGTCATGTTCAATTTGAGGCTTTAAAAACTGCAAATTTGAAAAGGTGGTATAGCGTGAGAACGTGATGCGGCATTTAAACAGCTTTTAAAACTTAAGGGTATGTCAGTCAACAGAAATACACCTGGAATACATACAATAGGTACTCGATGACTTAAGAATTATATTATAATAATATTCTACACTTACATTATCCCACTGAGTAGTCTATAAACAGTACATTGATTAACAGTATATTAATTAATAAGGACTAAGGATTTACCATCTATTAAATTAGTTATAGCTGATTCCATGTCCATGTCCGTTCCCGCCAATTCCATAGCACACTCTTCATACGTGTGCTTCGTGACTTCTACCTGTCAGGCAACCAATTAATATGCAACACATTCATGTATAAAAACTTTCAACGAGTATGTTATATTCGTACTTTTTCATGTAAAAACTATGGCACGTGCTTTCAAGAAAATTATCATTAAATTATTTTACTAACTTTGGGCGAGTCTCGATTTGCCGGATTTACCGGATTTAATGATCTGAATTGGTCAGTGTAGCCCTTTTTACCATGAACAATAGAAACTTACCATTTTTTTAATAATATTATCTTGCATCGTTTCTATTCGTTCGAATGAGGATAACTGTGCTAATCGCTTCTGTTCTTCCGTGGGAACCGTTACCTGACAGTCATTAGTAATTACACATCAAATTATGAACAAAATAAACACGTAATGACTGATGAGGTGACTATTGGTTTCCTACAATGTAACGTAAGTAATAAGTAGTAAGTATTGCTTTGAATCAGTTTTTCTCCTAGGCTTGATTACGGTGATTACCGACCAGATAGGATAGTTAGTAGATAGTGAAACGGAAAATCTCGTTTCAGTTTGTTTCGGTCCGTAATCAAGTTCAGTAGAACCGGGGGGGGGGGACTAATGGGGACTAAAAATCATCTAAATGGGGACTAATGGAGACTTTTGGGGACTAATGGGGACTAAAAATCATGGGGACTCGGGGTAAAATCGTTGACGTAATTCCCCAAGTCCCCAAAAAAGTAGTCATTACCCCCCCCCCCCCCCCCCCCCCCCCCCCCCCCCCCCCCCCCCCCCCCCCGTAGAACCACTAAACTTTCAAACACTGTAAACATAACAGAAAACTAATTAACGAGATCATGTGACGTCACCTGACTAGTGACATCATCACGTGACGTCATCACGTGACGTCATAACACATCTTGTTTACAATATTCACAAAAACAGCTCATAAATGGTCACTAATAAACCGAAATATTAACAATACATTTATAGAACATGCAACCATGTCAAGAGATATGTTTAATTAACAATATAACAATAATGTTAAAGTTTAATTTACCTTGATGCTTTTGGTGACGTTGGACTTAACGTCCATTATGTTCAAATCACAACCCTGGACCATGGGCCGCTGTAAAGGAAGGGGAGTTAATTTTTAAATGATAAAAGATAGAAAATGATACATTCAATCAAATCGTGTGATGGTATTGGCAGAGTTGAATACAACTAGCGCGCTAATTATGGTATGTATTTTTGCTACAAAAATCATTCGTATTCTCGATATTTTCAAGCAATAAGGGTTAACTAATTAAGAGCATTTTAATTAAGCAAATTCTAAAGTTCAAAAAACTATTTTTGGAAAAACGAGAAAAAGGAGTGTTTAAAGTAGTAGTGCAGGTTTGTTATTTATCAAATGAAATGAAATGAAATAAAATATTTGTATGTATCAACAATCAATATTAAAATAAAGATTGCGGCTGGTCTTGCGTTATAATCCAAAAAATAGATACTCAATATATAAATGTATTCTGTGTAAAATTATCTTTATCCCGGTTGTTGCGACAAGTGAAAATGCTCTTATTAGGGAAAGGAGTTTACTCGACGTTTCAATGTAACTACATCGTATTTATGATCTCAGATTATTTGTTATATAGTAGTGTTGAAAGTATTAATAATAATTAGTATTTTACAGGACAAGAAAACGACAATTTCAAGAAAACATATAATTGTACAACTTTATTTAATATCAATTAAAGCGAACAAAAATATATTTTATATATAACTAGCAGGAGTAGGCTATCCATTATCGGTATGAAATCTTTTATCTTTTATCTAGATAAACAGATAACGATTTAGGTTCTATCACTGTATTGTGGCAGTATTCGGTTATTTCTATTGAATTTTTATACCAATAAAAATTTATTTTATCTAGATAAGCAAATAACTTTTTTTAACGAATTATCGGAGATAATTATCGATATCAATTATCAGAGTGGATAGCTTAAGCAGGACCTTTAGCTTTATAACAGATATCTTATCGTTTGATTATAAGGAGTAATAGTACTATGTTTACAGTATGCACTGAAGGGGTATCCTTGGAAGTTTCTTGAACTTTTAACAGGTACCCCTCCTCATTTAACCCTCAATTAAGTTTCCTATCATTCGGCTGAGTTGACCGAGGAGATCGCATACCTTACTCGGGATTATTATGACCGGGATAAAGTGGCGGGTTTAGGGTAATTTCGCCATATTTTTCCCGAACCACATTTTCACCGGTCGTTAATAAACCCGCCGACTCAGCTTTTAGGGTTCCGAAGGGGTATGGGTGCTCATATTTTAATCGTTGTCTCATATTCACTAAAGAAGACTATTGGGACACTTGTTGTAGGTTTCTCGACTTCATTTGGCTAAAATTGCAAAAAATTCACCTTTTTGCCAAATTCTTGTCATATATCCTTATTGTCAAAGTTGATTTAAATAGGCCAATTTTTAATTTCTTATGTATTGACTATCTCTACATAATGAAATAGGACTCAAAGTAAAAGTAACAGTTAAATTAAAACTTGAATTAATTAAAACTGTCAATAACATGAATCAGTTTCATCAGTCATTTATTCATAATTCTAAACAATGTGAACGATGCATTCTTTCGAAGTTTGATTAACCACGAGTCATTATTTCTGTCTACTTTCAACAATTATTGATAATTCGACTTGTTTCACAAGTTTTAGCACTGCGAAAATTTCTAAACTTGCTTATCTCTAATAAGGAAATTTACATCTGAGACAAAATTTTTGAATCTAAAATTGAAAGGTTGGACACCGGTAAAATGGCGACCGGGAAAATGTGGTGGGTTTTGAGCAATTTCGCCATATTTTTCCCGAACCATATTTTAACCGGTCGTTAATAAACCCGTCGTAATAATCCCGAGTAAGGTAGATCCAATGGATCTTTAGCTACTCCCTAGACTAGGTGACACTAGGATTCGAACACTGAACCTTTTAAGGTAATTTAATGACTATTAAACATTATATCAAGTGGTTAAGAATGCCCAAAATCGATCTGAGAGCTTTTCAGCTTATAGTACAATCGTGATAGTAACAGTAAGTGTGTGCTGCTGCAATTAGATTAGATTACTGCAATATATGTACAATTTTTTGAAGTTCAAGTATCTTTTAAGACGAATTTCCCAAATATAAATCCATCCTCTACAGCAATCTGTCGTTTCCTCATCATTTCCGGCGTGCTGAGAATCTTGTGACACTCGTCACTCAGACTCTGTAGTGAAACTTCGTACAAACAGTGTGTCTGATCCATCCGTTCTCTATCCATATTTTGTTTAGTCCTGGTAAAGGTTTCGTGGTCCAGAATCATCAACTCAGCTATATTTCGTTTAATTTTGAAGCCTTGATTATTACTACTACACCTAGAATTAGTGGCATATTGGATGGCATTGGACAAACTGACCGGGTAGTCAGGGTCAAGAATTCTTTTCTTTACTTTGTTATAGAAATCCAAGCAGCCTTGTGGAGACCAGGTATGAGGACGTCTGGGTTTCGATTTGGAGACATGTCGTGATTTAGGTAGAAAAGTTGAGGTTGAGGTAGAGGTTGGGATTTGAGATATGACGGGGGCAGGAGCTGTTATCGAGGGAGTGGAGGAGAGAGGTTTCTCCATTGACAAAATTTCTTGTTTCATTGGTTTAGAGGAAGAAAGTCTGGGACGTTTCATAGATGGTTCAGGATAAGTAGAAAGGATAGTAGATGGGGTGGGGAGGTGGGGCATTCTTCTCCATTCGGCTATGTGGTGGGGACAGAGGGTGAATGTTGCTGAAGCTTCAGTAGGATCAGTAACACCAAGGCTACAGGAAGTGAAGCAACAGTTCTTGCAGCTGAGGAAAGAGGGACGTTCCATATCTGATAATTGTTGTGAAATAAAACTAGTTAATTAAATATTGGCTATAAGATATGATGACCAATGTATGAAATGAAAAGAGGTATTTTTATCCCGCTCATTTTATTAACCAACAACACAAGGAAAGTGGTTAACCATGTCAGAGCGATGACAGTGATGTGAGCAAATGTGTAAAAGTATATATAAAAATTATTCAAACAATATACACATAATATAGCAATGACCCTATATAAAATCAACCCTTTAAGAATTCAAAAAATTCCCTTAACAATCAAAAATTTTTTACCCTTGGCCTTGTGGCTCCAAGTTAAGATCTAGACTGTTTATATCAACAATGTTTTTTCTCGCACCTCTGTCTCCACGGAGAGACATCACTGTGTAAAAGTATGACTCATTATAAGGCCAAAAGAATGATGATTTATCACTCTACACTGGACTGTCACGTGACTTTTTAACCCGTTCTCTGGCTGGCCCTAAATGAATATTCGAAACCCTAACCCTCTAATCTGATCCCATCCCTAACCCTTACCCAATCCCTGACAAAAGCATATGCTGAAACCATAATGAGAAATTATACCAACGTCCTTGATCTGTCATATCACGTGATCGGGACAGTTTTTCACCAATATCTCACCAGGGGAGCATTTTAACAGGTTGGTTTCAACTGTCGGGGGCCCTTTTTTAAATCTCGAAGATCGAGTAATTTAGCACGCTCGAGGCAAAGACAAAATTAAAACATCTTTTATATAGCACAAGTATTATCAAAGCATAGTTAAAACATGAAAGTTAGTGAATCGTCGGGAACTAAACGGTCGAATAACCGACGGTTGACAAGAACAGGAATGTTTTATAAATAGCGCTCGATTTATAAGTAATAACTGATAACGAAGTTCTTTAAAAGAAAAAAATTGCGCGGCACACATTTTTAGAATTTTAGCGCTTCTGGGTATTATAAAAATTTAAGCATTCTTATTAACCATTTATTTTGTCACTCGATCCCATTTTTTACATCATTATATCATAATTATAAGAAATTCTAAAAAACTTTGTCATATCATTTAAAATTGTTTGTATTGTGTGACCTTGAACTTAACATTAAAAATGTTTTATATTTGATTTCAATTCGCTTCTAATTTTAAAATCGTAAATATCGATTTACAATTATTTCATATTATTTACCGTTTAGTATACCGCTTAATTTAATAAAATTTACAAATATCTATATTTTAGATTATTTAATTTATAAACATTTAATAATTTTCATTTCAATTTTTATTAAATTATTTTACATAATGATTTTTGTTTTTGTTTACTGTTTACAGAATCATAAAATTCTTTTCCTTGAATTAAAATTGGTAACTGTTAGTGTTGTTTTGTTTGCAGAATATTTCTTAAAGTGATAAAGATTTCAAAATGTTTAGTCTGTACTCTGAGTGCCAAGGAAATGATTTGTATTATGAAATATTTAGAACTACCGCGACGCGCAATCAACGTCCCAAACTTTGTCATCACGGATTTCACATAGTCAGTTCTGAAATGTGTGCGGAGTAAGCAGCAAAGTTAAGCGTTAGCCAATCGAGCACCTGAGATTGGGAAGCGTGATCGAAGCATGACACAGTGACCTCCCACGTGACTTTTTTGTTTCCTCTAGCAGCTCTCCTTGTAATTCCAGCAACAGCCCGTTGTGGCTGTTGTGTTTTGGGAGCTCTACTAGTTTGCGGACAATGATACACTAACGCAACATTAAGTTCGTCGGAAGTGAGTGTAAAACTTACAAGTAACCCAACAACTCCTTTAGGTCTCATGAATCGCGATGGCTGTCATCCTGTTCCTTATAGATACCAGCGGATCCATGAATCAACGGACTTATTTGGGACCGACGTATCTTGACTACGGAAAGATTGCCGTGGAAAGCTTCTTAAAGGTATCAGTATTAACCATCCCACAACTTGAAATCTTAATCACCACTCACTCTACATCCCGATTAAGAAACTTCAACTAAATTCACTCAATCCCCAGATACGCGGTAAAGATCACGTCAACTGGAAGGATAGGTACATGCTGGTCACCTGTGAAGACTTCCCAGCGGCAATCAAGGTATACATCAGATCTTCAAGAGGTCTTCTCAGTCGATATTTGATGGGCAGGTATTAAAATGGGGTTGTTTGAGGCGTCCCAGCCCTACCGAGTCTACATTTGTTTTGCTTGTTTGCTATTCTTGTTCGATCCGAGTCTTCGGTCCTGGAGTCTTGATCCACTCAACATTAGGTCCTTTCTCTCTCTTCAGCTGCATTTCAGTGGCATTTATCCCAGACTGTGTGTGACACCTGTGAGGCGGTGGCCATTCTACTGCCACACTCACCATCTCTCTTTCTGGATAGTTCTTCGCTTGCCCAAGTTTCCTCTTCAACAAATGAATAAATTCTGTTCACTTGTTCTCAACTCCCTTGATTTAGCCCATAGAAACACATCGTTTAGTCATCAAATGTAACCACAAGAATATAAATCAGTGTTGCATTTTTGAGGAGTTAAAAGCTCCCAGAAATAAACCTTTGTTCATCTGACGAGTAACACCGGTACACAAGTACAAATACGTCATTTCAGTGTCACTCACTCAACACTATTCATTACACTCTGTATCTGTAATACGATCCTTTCAAACCAGCTTAGTTTTCCTAATTGGAAGACGGGCGAAAGAGTTGATGTCAGAGTGGCTGTTCCTTCTTTGGGCAAAGCGCCAAGTCCTACGGGCTCCGTTTTTACGAGATTTACGTGTTGCAAATTACTGCAAAGTGATGTAGTTGAAAACGTGCGATCACGCCGTTGTGTTAACGTGTGTGCGCGTATATGTGTTTTTGTGTGTGTGTGTGTGCGTATGCGTGTACACATTTTCACCAATCCGGTTATCTTCCCCTAATCCGGTTATCTTCCGGTTGTCAGTTATCAATCAGAGGGGTACCCATCAGAATAAGGTACCGATCTGAAAATTCCAAAATGTGAAAATGTACAAAATAAGGTGAACACAAAGTCGGTGGTGCTCATCACTCCCTATAGCACTGTTCACTTTAGAGTGTTAATTTTCAAGACAGTGCAAACTCATATGCATCATTTTGTGTAACCCATCAATAATATGCGATACATATTATGTGTAAATCTGACAGAAAACCAGTAAATTCCCGGAGATGTCATCATCTTCACATTTACGTCAACCAGTGTATGCGTGATAACAGCAATACATACACACTTCCGGTCAGCCACCCTTCTTTAGACGTCGTGACGTTACGTGGATTATTATTAGTAGATAAACGATCAGATAGCAAACTATCATGAAGTACAGACATAACCACTTTAGGAAATGATGAAGACTAGAAAGAATGGAGTTTCTGTCACATTAAATTGAAATTAGGACAATTAGAAAATTAGGGACAATTAGAAATAGGGACAAATTTCCCGCAGGACACTCGTGCGATCCAGCTAATAGTGTTACTGAATAGTGTCACAATGTGCAACCGAAAACCACACCATATTTGGTAAAGTGAAATTGGGTGATTGTAGCCCGAAGATAAATGGGAAAGACCACCAACTTATCTGACAAATTCTTTTCAGATGAATCAGTGTCAAAAAGTTTTGTTCTGATTTTGAAAGTTTTGGGTGCCTTTCGATATTCTTAATTTTTAAAATTTCAGAATTTCACAACACCACCCTCCCCCTCACTAGTCATCTCGAATGTTGAAATTAACCCCACTGTGTATGATGCGAAGTGTTACATGTGGAGTTAAGTACACAATAAATATATAGTATATACACATATTATGCACACTTTTTATACACTCTTCATAAATACACCATACATGTACAGGAGAGGTGACAGTTTATGGAACGCCTCCCATTTCACTGCCTTCACTCGTCTGACGGAATTGTTACCTATTGGTTATGCGACGTGTAACATACTATGTGACGTGTGATATACTCACTGTGTAAATCTAGATCAGTTCAATGCTGTAACATTAGTTTAACGAAAGTGTTACATTAGTGTAACACTAAAGTAAACTTAGTATAACATTAGTTTAGTATAATTGCAGTACAAGTGTAACATTCGTCCAACAGTATCGGAAAACACATTGCGTAACATTATTGTTAATTAATTAATTAATTAATTGTTACACTAGTGTACTTAATAATCTCCCTGGAACCGGCCTTATTGTTAATAATGCTATAATTATCAAAGACATACATATTAAATTAATATATATTCTATTCATCGTTATTCGTTATTAATAGCATATTCACATAGGTATAATTGTTGATAGCACTGTGTTATCCGCCCCCATCGCAAGTCCGCAGAAATGGAACTTGAATATTAAGTAATTACTGTTAATGAGGTTAATTAGGATAAATTAAGGTATCACACGCTCTCGCAATTACATCAAGTGGATAAACGACGATAAGAATTACAGTCTAGGGCATATGATTGAAATATTACTCCTATCTGCCTATCTATACCTACTTGGTTTGAAGTGAGATAAGAAAATTATTATAGTGGACTGATAAGAAGTTCGTCAGAGGAAGAGATTATTATTTTCGACAGGAACAGCCGGCAGGTAGTTACCAATCAGCCGGCAGGTAGTTACCAATCAGCCGGCAGGTAGTTACCAATCAGCCGGCAATTTGTTACCCTAGTTACCAATCAGCCGGCAGCTAGTTACCAATCAGCCGGCAGCTAGTTACCAATCAGCCGGCAGCTAGTTACCAATCAGCCGGCAGCTAGTTACCAATCAGTTGGCAGCTAGTTACCAATCAGCCGGCAGCTAGTTACCAATCAGCCGGCAGCTAGTTACCAATCAGTTGGCAGCTAGTTACCAATCAGCTGGCTACTAGTTACCAATCAGCCGGCAGCTAGTTACCAATCAGCCGGCAGCTAGTTACCAATCAGTTGGCAGCTAGTTACCAATCAGCCGGCTACTAGTTACCAATCAGCCGGCAGGTAGTTACCAATCAGCCGGCAGCTAGTTACCAATCAGCTGGCAACTAGTTACCAATCAGCTGGCTACTAGTTACCAATCAGCTGGCTACTAATTACCAATCAGCCGGCAGCTAGTTACCAATCAGCCGGCAGCTAGTTACCAATCAGCCGGCAGCTAGTTACCAATCAGCTGGCTACTAGTTACCAATCAGCCGGCAGCTAGTTACCAATCAGCTGGCTACTAGTTACCAATCAGCCGGCAGGTTACCAATCAGCCGGCAGCTAGTTACCAATCAGCAAGTGAGATAAGAAAATTATTATAGTGGACTGATAAGAAGTTCGTCAGAGGAAGAGATTATTATTTTCGACAGGAACAGCCGGCAGGTAGTTACCAATCAGCCAGAAGCTAGTTACCATTCAGCCGGCAGCTAGTTACCAATCAGCAAGTGAGATAAGAAAATTATTATAGTGGACTGATAAGAAGTTCGTCAGAGGAAGAGATTATTATTTTCGACAGGAACAGCCGGCAGGTAGTTACCAATCAGCCGGCAGGTAGTTACCAATCAGCCGGCAGGTAGTTACCAATCAGCCAGAAGCTAGTTACCATTCAGCCGGCTAGTACGACCAATAAAATCTGCAAGCAACTGTAAAAAAGCAGGTCCTCCTCGATGTTTACTTTTTCCAAAAGCCAACTGCGAATCAGTCAGCTTTAGTATCCATAGTGCGGTAGTAGACAAAACAAGTGAAATGTATTTTAATTTTTTTAAAAGAATCTTTTTAAAATGTCGAAAAATCTTAAAAATGTAAAGTAAATAACACTAAAACTTTGAAGTAAATGATCGATATGTAAGTCTGATAACTGTTTAAAAGTAACAAGTAAAGAATTACAATATGTGTATAGAAACTGTCTACCAAACGCGATTTCAGTCTCGACAATTCTAACTAGCAGTTTTACTTTGCGCTCTTTTGATCATAACGCAATTATTTCTGTGATCTTTGAAAGTGAATTCCTGCCACACCTGCCACAAGGATACACTTAGTTTTAGATACGTGCTAGTTAAAATCTCTGCGTATTTATACTTTATAGATACTGGCTTACAAATTGAAATTAGTGCTCTTTCCATCGTATTAGATTTCATTTGGGATGGGAGGTACTCCCTCTAGGCTCTATTTCAACTCAGTATGGATGATGTGATTTGTCATCAAATGTACCAAAACCCTCACGTCTAAAAATAGGATGAATCGGGTTGTCAAATCTTATTAAATCTCGGCCTTCTGAAGAATGCTGTGTCCCAAAGAAGGTTTTTGTACGATATTTTGATTTTACAAAGGAGTATAAAGTTCGAGATCCATCATGTTGATGATCATTGCAATACACAACCTTATTAGTTATTAGTCTTTCTCACTTTCAAAATAATACGAATTAATACTAGTTATATGCTGTAATACTAATAGTATATATAACCATAACGGGGACTTGACTTGTTGTGGGAACTGAAGACCATGTGTAGGATAACCATAACACCCTGACACCCAGTAAATTGTACGTACATTGTACGTACTTTATACGTACTTTATACATATAATAATACTTTATCATTTATACATCACTAAGATATGTTTTTGCTACTGTTAAATACCTGTACTTGCATGTGAACATGATAACTTAAATTGTGACCCACCCTGTAATTAGTAACTGCAACTACAAGGGTGGACATAATGACGGGATAATATGTTTAATTGGCTTGCATGTTACTGGGAGATGACGTGAACAATATTATTAGTGTACTTGTTAAAATAACGAAATGAAAGTGTTGTTAATAACTCTGATTAGGAGGTTCCCGTAATGTCATGATGTAGGGTGACATTACGAGAGTGAAATGTGAAATGTGAAATGTGAAATGTGAAATGTGAAATGTGAAATGTGAAATGTGATTATATGTGATATGTACTGTGATATGTGATATGTGAAATGTGAAATGTGAAATGTGAAATGTGAAATGTGAAATGTGATATGTGAAATGTGATATGTGAAATGTGCTTTCCTTTCTCCATCTTCACTTCTAACGACGTGACATAATGAACATTTCACCGCTGGACGAGTCAATAAGGAATATGTTAATAACTGGTTGAAAACTTGTACACACTGCTACTCTAAGTGTATGAATTGTATAATGTACACTGTATAATGTGCACTGTATAATGTACACTGTATAATGTATAATGTACACTGTATAATGTACACTGTATAATGTACACTGTATAATGTACACTGTATAATGTACACTGTATAATGTACACTGTACACTGTATAATGTACACTGTATAATGTACACTGTATAATGTACACTGTACACTGTATAATGTACACTGTATAATGTACACTGTATAATGTATAATGTACACTGTATAATGTACACTGTATAATGTACACTGTATAATGTACACTGTATAATGTACACTGTATAATGTACACTGTATAATGTACACTGTATAATGTACACTGTACACTGTATAATGTATAATGTACACTGTACACTACTACTCTCAGCCTCTCCTGTAATACATTCCCTAACACGGCACATCTCAGTACTGGTGCATGACAACCACTACATTTCATTTCGAACAATACAGTTCACTTGTGAGGGGGGGAGGGCACTGCTGCACTGGTGGTGTTTACCTAAAAGTTTTTAATTTCAAAATTACAATAAATAATAATACCATTGTTTGTATCGTTATCATCTCAATAGATATCGACGTCTCGGAAATTTTCGACGTAAATCGTGAATATAACATGGTTTTGAATGGTTCGAACGGAATGGTCCATGCGATATTTTGGACACAATTAATAAACAATCATATGAGCAGAAATATAAACAGTTTATTATCGAAACTTTTTGGTTTGTGTATTTCCCAACAAAGATTGCACACTTAAGGGGGCATACACCAAACCTGTCCAACCCAACTGACCTCATAGGCAGTTCAGTGACCATCTAGCGCACCGTTTCCACACAGAACAAATTGAGAATACCTATTTTTGTAATCGAGCATTTCCTGGTTAGAGTGGAATTTTCGGAGAAAATAATTTTTTTGGTTAAGGCGTTCTCTCGTGCAGCGAGAAGTCATGTCTCTGGTCAGTTACAGGTTTTTAAAAGTTTTCCTCGGAAATGACATAACCAGTTAACCGCACAATCTGAAGTCGATCAAACTTTGAAGTTTGTTGGTCGTTTTAGTAAAAATGAATACCATATTTGGTCATAGTATTTAATTGTCGATAGAGTCGAAACGAATTTCATCGGTATTCGGTGTTGTATTAGAGGTATTGGAAATTCACTTGATTGGGTGGTACTGGTAGTGGCAACTTCATTTCTTTTAAAATTGTATTTCTTTCGTATTAAAGCTGATACTGATAAAAAGCATTACCTACATCAGCTGTATCTGAATCTCGATCATAGTCCATCTGGTCCATCTTAGAAGGGGAAGTTATGTAATCCTAAACATGGGATCGCACTCCTTCCGTCTATTTCGAATGTTAAAGGAAATAATACACTATTCTAGAATGCAATGACCGATTTACCCCCAGTTAGAGACATTTATTACAGGGGGAACATCTGGTTTTTAATTAGATTTTCACCTTTTATAGGCTAAATGTGGAATTTCAGTTCTGATGAAATATTGCTGTTCCACGAAAAAAATAAAAATATTTTCTACAGAACAGAAACAGTTACAATGTCTGAACAATGTTCAGTGAACATGTCTGAACATGTCTGAACAGTGAACGTATCTGAACATGTCCGAACAGTGAACGTATCTGAACATGTCTGAACAGTGAACATGTCTGAACATGTCTGAACAGTGAACATGTCTGAACATGTCTGAACAGTGAACGTATCTGAACAGTGAACATGTCTGAATAGTGAACATGTTAGTTTCTGTGTAAATGCAAGTGGTGTGTGTGAGGGGTCGTGACTGAATGACGTAATAATCACCTGCTGGGTTCCTTACAGGTTCTACTTTGAAAGCCTGTAATATACAATCCTTATAATACAATCCTTATTCTCGTTCATTTTAGTGATGACTACACCCCGTTTTATGGGGTAATAATAATGGTCTGTGAGAGAGAGAGGAATTGCTATTCTGTTGTTGTTCCGGCTATCATTATTGTATTAGATGAGTGGGGGGGGGGGGGGGTCACACAGCGTGAAATTTATACGTGTCACTAGCTGCATAATATATGCAGGTAATGAATCTCTAAACGCTCCTATGTTGCCCTGGCTTCGTCACCAGTCTATCCATCCCTCCTTCTCTCTCTCAATCTCTTGTGTTAGGGTGGATCCTGAATACAGTGGGCTTTTAGCACCTTCAAGACATTGCTCACAACCTGGGTGGATTATCAATATTATACTGTTGGTCAGATTATCCACTATCTCTCTGATTGGCTGAGTTTATAGGATAGTTGGTCAGAGGGGTCGATCTCAGTGTAATGTTCCCATGTTTCAATACAATACAATACAAGAGCAGGTCTCTCCCGCAAGTTGGGATGGCCTTATCTCCTTTTCAATATAACCCTATGCCAATCTGTGCCGAGGCACTATACTAGCTGTAGGGGGGTTAGTCCAGCCGAAGCTGCACCAAATCACAGCTTGGTAACTGGCCGACTTGCATCCGACCGGATTTGAACCCGGGCCTTCTGCTTGGGAGGCGATCATATTACCACTATACCACCCGACCGATGTTTCATCTGAGTCTATAGTCAGTCTTCCTCTAGGAAAAATCAGTGCACCCTGAATTCCTATTGATGTTCCATTTAGTTCTTATCAGTCCTTTTCTGGATTCTTGGTTTTTATTCCATGATAGTGTTTGAATTGTTCAGTAACCTAAGTGAGAGTACTCCCCTAACCCACTCTTCACCCCCAGGTTGGATGGCGTGACGTAACACGTGACCCCACGCCCACTACTCACTTCCGGGAGGAACTTAACCAGCTGGTAGCAACCAGTATGACTAACCTGGGAGGAGCTATCAAGTGTTCTTTGGACCTTTTAAACATTCACAGGGTACAGAACGGGCTGGATAACTACGGGCAGGTTGGTACTCAGATCTGCATTTCAGAAAATAATCAACCTCAACATATTGAATTATTGATTATAAATATATGATGTTTTAGCACTTATGATATATTATACATTATATTTAACATTGCTCCACAGCTATCACTCTCAGTTCTCCATTAACAAGCATTTGTCCAGGGCCGGAACCCGTTCCTGTTCGAACCTGCTGTTGTGGTGATAATATCAGACGGGTGTAGGCTCACTAACACTCAAACTGTCACCGATACGGTCAGTACTTAAATCTTAAAGAATCAGCTTGACACTACGTGATTATATTGGACTAGTGTAACCCGTGGCTACGGCCGGGACTTCACTATCGCAAAAGTATAAACCAGCCTATTATATTCGAAAACTCGCATAACATTTTCGTAGTTAAAACGATGCGAAAGTACGAACTCGCTCATTTCAAACAGACCACAATTTAATTCTGAGTGCCCCTCACATATCTAATAGTAATACTTGATAGGCAATCTTGAGTTCCCTGCCAAATTACCTAATTATATAGCAAATTTATTATGAGGAGAGAGCGAGAGAGCGAGAGTGGGAGAGTACACACACACACGCACTTAAGTATCACATTTGGGTCACAAAATGATCAATTAAACCACTTACCACCGACCGATTAAAAAACCTTTATCATTTGGCTTCGTCAGAGTTTTCTCGGCACTATACCGAAAAAAACATCCCCGTAACTCTTACCGTTTTCTTGATTTAAGCCGTTCGGAAATTACACACATCTTGGGATTATTAGTATTGATAGTTTTTAGGGCTGTGGGGCAAATGGTGTGGTGAGAGTTTGGCACCACTAGAATTTTATTTCTAGTGGTTCATGAGCCTTTTCATATGATTAATCATGCACATGAGTACATAACATGTTAAGATGATCAATTGACGATGTATCGTTCTTGTTCTTGAACATAGTTGGCATCATTTCTTCACGTAGTTCACCTATACAAGACGGATCGTAAATAAAGTCTCTACATTCTCCGTTGGATCCGAATGAAGCTCCATTGGAAAAATTTAATTTATTCTTTGAGTTCAGTGGAGATGAATAGGCAATAAGTGGAGAGCAATGAGTTGTTAAACATTTTCCAAATTCAGCCCAAACCTCTACATTCTGCTATAATAATGCTTGGGTTTGTAACCGAATTCTAACGGGTCAAATTGATTAAATTAAAAAACCCAAAAACAAAACTGTCTGATACTTTTTAAGGAAACTTTAATTTTTCATCCGCCCTGACATTAAGCATACTGTCACAACAGAACCGGGCAACTATCTGGCGCGGAGCCAAGTTTACGTTTTCGACTTCTAATTGTTAATGCGTTCCAACTGCAGATTATGACCAAATAAGGCACATTTTATTCAAATCTTTACACCTTCAAGTAAATTCTTATTTAACCATATTTTTTAATTTTTTTGGAAAGAAAATTATTTAATTACCCAATTACTCCCATGAACATCGGCGGAAGTACTGTAGTCCGGTCAAATGCCGAATAATTTTACATTTAACATATTACGTTAAATACAATGGTAATTTAAGCCGGATATTTTCGTACAAGGACATAACTTATCATGCAGGAGACGGGTTTGTAGGTGTACTGTGTACTTCAAGTTTTATTGTAATTCCCTTATGACCGTTTTATCATAACTTATGAGTCTCTTGATTGTCCTTGGCGCTATCCTATCTGATATTGTCCAATAAAAAGGCATATACGTCTCGTAGCACGATTTGGCTCGCCTTTGCATGAAGTGTGATTTCACCATTAGCTAATGCAATATTCTGGTCAAGTGATTACATCGAACTAGCTCTATAACTTTGGTTCCGCGATAATTGGGAATGCGCGGCGCGCGCGATACGTCCCAGATAAGATAAGGATCCATAGTGATAGCATTTAGCTCACTGCATACAAGTCGTGCTTTAATACACGACGCCGCGCAGATCTTAGTTCATTGTTGAGAACCCGATAAAATGTTCAGACGTGTATTTCTAACCCTGGCTACACCTAACACCTTATGATATCATTATCAGCATTCTCTCCAATCGGATTAAAAGGAATTGAACGGTACAGCAGCTTTTAATCTGCTGCTCGTAAAATATACGCACATGCAGCATCACCCGGTGGATGTCCTTGCTGTACGGCAGTGTTAAACAAGGAACTGAAACCGAGGGGTTCCTTTCAGGCCCTTCACACTTTGTTTCTGTCTGGTTCTAATGTACCCGTGTACCGTCACAATAGTGACTATAATATTTATCGTTACAGCAGATCTAACAATTTCTGCTAAATTAAATCACCTGCACTTCTTCCAACCCTCTGCAAGTGTCGACATTTGATGCTGTAACACGGCAATTAAGGATAAGCCAGCACAACTCCATATAGTCGACTAAAATACCGCCATCATACCAACATGGACATTATCACAACTTAATCACGATAATCTTTGTGACGAATGATTAGTGTCCAATGTGGGCAACATTGAGTCCTAATACAACTCCTAACATGGTTTATGGTATTATCATTTGCAGAACCTAACGCCCGAGCTATTGTGGCCATTGCTTAATGGTACGAATAGTGAGATTCCCTCACTCTCACTAAACGTACCATTAAGCTCACTCAATAGGGCGTATAAAACTATGTTTGGAATTCATTACTGTAGAGTCTCACACGAAGGAGGGTGTTAGCCAGTCATCTTATAGACTATTTCAATAATCATATTTTGTAACATATTACGAAATATTTTACTGTTACTGCTCTATTTTCCTTTCCATTTATACCACATTTGGTCTGATGAGAGGCTCTAGTTTATTCTTCAGATTCATGTCTTGAGCTTATTAGAAATCCTAGGCTGATTCTATTTATAGTTACTTCTATTCCGATCGAAGTCTAAAAATAACCGATTTATTTATTTCAGTTAACTCTACCAATGCACCCCTCATTCCCTGGGAGCGAACTCACTAAAGACCCCTTCCGTTGGGACCAGAGAATATTCTCGATCGTCCTCCGTTTCAAGGGCAACTCTGACAATGACTTCGTGGAAAGTGTCCCGTTTGATACCCAGATTAACGCCATGTGTGAGGTCACTGGAGGTAAGACAATGATTTAAGCGCTGAAATTAACCGCTGTCAGGACGAATTATAGTTATGGGTTGAATTATGGCTTGATCAATGATCAATGATCAAGGTCGCTGCTAATATATTACGTACATTTACGTACGTCGTACATTTAAGTACATATAAGTTACACGACAATTTGATAAGTGTGTCTCACAGTCATTAAATAATTGCCGGTCTATTTAATAAACATTTAATTGCCAGTACAGTTGCAGTAGTCAGTTGACCATTTGCCTCATGTGGTTAACATTATGTATCTCAATTAGTAATATAATCCTCAGGTCGATCGTACGCAGTTCCTAATCACAAGAGTCTTCTCCAAGCACTAGAATCAATCAACCAGAAAGTCTTGAGCGGGGTTGTAATCCAGCTCGAGCACCTCCCTAGTGAAGCAGAACGAAACCTAGCTAACGAGGCCTGGCGCTCCACCCGTCGCATGATCCTCGTCAACAAAACCAACCCGGGCCAGCTGGCTCACTGGCCTATTCCCGAGAGTTTCTGGCCGACCCGCGAGACCCGCCCTCTCCGCACAGCCATCCCCTTGCTCTACTTCAGTTCAGAGAGTAAGAGAGTCAACGTGTTGGATAATCTGCCGTTTGATAAATACGAGCTGGAGCCCTCTCCGCTTACGCAGTTTATACTGGAGATGAGACAGCCTACTGTGTGTTGGCAGACCTTTGTTAAGAGCTCTGGGAGGGATAAGGGTGAGTGTATTATTGGTTCTTATCATAGGGGAGGTGACTCTCTACGTAGGATTGTTGTGACGTCACAACAATTGTTGTCATGGGGGACCGTCACAATGACGTCACTATCCCACTTAGAGAGTGCTATCTAAGTGGGATTGTGACGTCATTGTTGTGACGTCATCTCCCAACTAATAACCAAGTCTGTATATGTAGAACTTTTTGTGTTTCTCACTTCCCTGACGAACAAACATGTTTTCGGGAGGTAATATAGAAATTATTTTATTTTTACCAAAATTATGTTCTTGATACGTGGTTTAAATTAGATGTAGTTTAAAATTATTAATACGTATTAAATTTATTTTGGAACCGGCCAACACAATAACATACTATCACATTGTAAAATTTACTACATTACCCAACAAAAGGTTAAATATAATAATTGCTCAGAACCAGTGTAAATCTCTAAATTCCACATCCTCAGGTATAAAATCACCGTTTGGCTACCTGAAAGCCAGCGTGAAAGGAACCTGTGTAAACCTATTTGTAATGCCGTACAACTACCCTGTATTGTTTCCTCTACTAGAGGAGCTTATAAAGGAGTTTAGGATGCAGCCTAGTAACCAGTGGATTACCGATTTTAAGAGCTATGTCAGCTCAATGCCCATCTACTATTACATGGTTAGTTTTTGGGGATTATCTCTGATATCGTCATCATTATAATTAAAATTGCCGAACTTAATCCATAAAATACTGCTTAAATTATCAGCTGAGTATTCGAAGATCATCGGTTCTATGACATCACCATCAGAATAACATTGAAATAAGCTGAAATTCTCCCCGACCCCATAAATAATCTCTTACTCCTCCCCGACCCCATAAATAATCTCTTACTCCTCCCCGACCCCATAAATAACCCCTTACTCCTCCCCGACCCCATAAATAACCCCTTACTCCTCCCCGACCTCATAAATAACCCCTTACTCCTCCCCGACCCCATAAATAATCTCTTACTCCTCCCCGACCCCATAAATAACCTCTTACTCCTCCCCGACCCCATAAATAACCCCTTACTCCTCCCCGACCCCATAAATAATCTCTTACTCCTCCCCGACCCCATAAATAACCCCTTACTCCTCCCCGACCCCATAAATAACCCCTTACTCCTCCCCGACCCCATAAATAACCTCTTACTCCTCCCCGACCCCATAAATAACCCCTTACTCCTCCCCGACCCCATAAATAACCCCTTACTCCTCCCCGACCCCATAAATAACCTCTTACTCCTCCCCGACCCCATAAATAACCCCTTACTCCTCCCCGACCCCATAAATAACCCCTTACTCCTCCCCGACCCCATAAATAACCTCTTACTCCTCCCCGACCCCATAAATAACCCTTACTCCTCCCCGACCTCATAAATAACCCCTTACTCCTCCCCGACCCCATAAATAACCCTTACTCCTCCCCGACCCCATAAATAACCCCTTACTCCTCCCCGACCCCATAAATAACCCCTTACTCCTCCCCGACCCCATAAATAACCCCTTACTCCTCCCCGACCCCATAAATAACCCCTTACTCCTCCCCCAGCCTCTGAGAGTTGCTCTGCGGAGGTTAGGAGTACCAGCTTCTCTTCTCTCTCTCATTCCCGACACACCCGATGGCATGTACTTCAACAACATGCTCAAATCTCTCAAAGTTCAGGCTAAAACCGAGGCTACCAGGTAAGGATTATTGGGTTTAAATAGGTTGTGTTTATCATATGTTTGATCTTTGTCAGTATTGTGGCCATTTTTATGCTCCTCCACTCCGTTTGGTTTAATTCTCAGTTTTTATTTCAGAGTATTTTCATCTCAATTGTTACGTGAAGTTAACACCTGCGCGTAACACCTGCTCAATGCACTCATCACATGAAATTATCACCAGGTACATGGACCAGATAAAAGCAAAGGAAAGCGCAGAACAAAAGATTGATGTCCCGAGAAAACATGTATCAGTAGCAGATGTCAGGAAGAGTCTTAATTTGGAGAAAAAGGTAATTATTAACCGTTTAATTAATAAATTGGTTGATTAGATGATCGGTTGTCAATATCTGACTGCCGTGGTTCGTTATTTTTAAGTAACTGAAATTCACGATTTTTCGCTTCTTAAAATAGATTGAAATCAATCTTTATTTAGTTTATGACAGTACGTAATAAACCGTGAATTATTTATGATAAATTAAGCATTATACAAATATTCCAATACTTCAAGATACCGCCTTCCAGAGATAGTGCTAAGAAAGCTAATATTCATTATATTAATCACCTTAATAACGCCAGAATGTGTGTGTGTGTGTGTGTGTCTGTGTGTCTGTCTGTCTGTCTGTCCGTGTGTAATTTCCGGTCGGTTATACAAAAAAAACGGTAAGAGTTAAACGGGACTGATTTTTTCGGTATAGTGTCGACAAAACTCTGATGAAGCCCATAGGAAATTTTTTTTTAAATCGGCCGATGTTAAGTGGTTTAATTGATGGTTTTGTACCACAAATGTTACATAAAATTGCGTGAGCAGAACGGCAAGAGTTACGGGGCTTGCTCTCTCTCTCTCATTACTGTGTAATATGTTATAGCTGCATTTAAGTAGCGTCATAATTGGATTAGCCTGGAAGATTCGCTGTAATGTTATACCTTAAGCTTATTAGGGGAGGGGGGACTGTTAGTGTTTGGGGTCTGTTTGGACTGCAGAGAGAGAGAGAGAGAGAGAGAGAGAGTTCATACGACAATGTTATGCGTGTTTTCAAATATAATATGCGGGTGTGGTGCGGAGTTAACAAGGGTTAATTTCTATAACGATTTAAATAAAAATAGAAAGCGGTTTAAGACGGGAGTGATGAGGTGTAATACTTGGTGTTCAGACCTTATGATCATGGAGTGTGGTGCCTCATGGCTAATAATGACTTAATTATCCACAAGAAATAACTGATTATGAGATTATTGTTTAAGAAACTATTGGGTCACCTAATGCGGGTTTTGACTCAGCGGGTAATTACTCCTACCCTTTTTAACTGCGGCAGTGAAATCCCGGCCGTAGGCCGGGTTACACTAGTATATTTATATATATCCATCATATTTAGCAAAACCGTCTCAGTCTCTGTTAAATCTAGCGTGTCCATGTTGTCTAATATAATAATATACGAATATCTCCTGGTTTCCTGGACCTGGCATAATTAGATTAGCAGCTGCGGTCGTGAAGATGTCAATTTTAGTTTCATCAAATCATTAAATCAGTTTTTTAAACTGAAATGTGGGGGTCTCTTTCTAGCTACGTGCCAGGTCTCTTTCGTGTGCTCTCCAGTAATATTGGAAAGTTCTGAAACCACGAAAAAGCATGACATCGCCTTAATTTAGAACACTATGCTAATAAGAAGCCATTTCTACCGCTATATTTAAAAGAGGGCTATTTATAGAACAGCACAAAAAAGCAATTATTAGCCACTCACTACTCATTACATTTGTATATTATTTATATCGTGTTATATTATATTACACAAATACTTTAGTTAGGTGTGGCACAAGCTCTCCATTTCTAACTTGAAAACTCCATTTCTAACCTGAAAACTCCATTCCTAACAGCTGAAAACTCCATTTCTAACCTGAAAGCTCCATTTCTAACCTGAAAGCTCCATTTCTAACCTGAAAGCTCCATTTCTATTAACCTGTAAACTCTCAGATTGAGAAGGAGCCGGAGGTGATAAAGAACCCGTACCACACACCAAACAACCAGATGATAGAGCAGTTAACCCTGCTGAGAAGGGAGATGGGGCTTGTTAGGTCCTGCAGCAGCACCGAGAATTTAGCTGGTAAATATATTTAATTGATTAGTAATAATTAGTAATAATTAGTAATAATTAGTAATAATTAGTAATAATTAGTAATTATTAGTAATAATTAGTAATAATTAGTAATAATTAGTAATTTCACGATTACAATAGAGTTGGGAAACTCTCAACGCAATCATTTGCAAGTTTGCTTTTTAAAATTCCTTGCACACATTAAGTTTCCACTATTTTTACTACTAGAGTGGCTCCGCTTTTTTATATCAGTTTTACTTGATATACCCTTAAAAGCGAGACCCAGTAAATCAGGAGTCCATGTTATTTCTTGTCAACATAGTGTGTATACATGTATATATAACACTACTACTATATAACGTAGTGTGTATATCATAGGTGCGGTGACGTTTTGTAAATAGTGCAATTCCTTAGTAGTGCGTGCAAAACACTGCAATTAAGCTGAACAATTCGCCAGATTTGCAGCCTTTAAGTTCTCTCAGGTTTTAATTGTCCTGTTAACAAAAAGTGTTAGGTCCATAAAATATGTTTAAAGCTGCAACCAGGATCGCAAGTACTGGTGGAATACAGTAAATGGCTGGCTGACTAGATATATGTATATAGATGGAGTTGCTATCGAAAGATTCAGGTTAACATCTAAACCTGTAATAGTAATTTGTTGATTTTTCTCACATGTTGCCCTACACAATCGTTTTTGTTATCACGACAGTCAACTTACAAGGTGTCTTAAACTGGGTTTCCTGGAAATTCAAAATGTATAATCCTATATTTATTAATTATCCTCATAGAGGTTTTACAATTAGATGGGCAGGTTGGCTGGGGCTAGTTGAGCTGGTGATGAGCCAAATTAAAGTAAATTATTCAATATTGTAACTTAATAATATTACGATATAATATTCCAACACATTGTGTGTATAAAATAAAGTGACTCAATTTCAATCGGTTGACGGATTGCGATCCAGCTTGATAAGTTTGAACATTTGTCGACATTCACACTAAAAAGAACGAATATCGATAGTATTCAAAGTCGACGCATTACCAATGCAATGGAACTTGCTATTTGATGATAATAACGAACTGTTTGTATATATTTATCCTGATTTACAAAATTCCTACTCTACTTTCCGATGTTTATCATGAAAAACGTGTAACCATACTCCTTAACTACAGTTATGAGCATTTCGATCTTATCTCATTATACACAGCGATACCAAGTTGAATTGTGAAGTACACAAATATGATTTAACGAATAATGATGGTGCAAAAAAGTGTGTGATACCACTGCATTATAATATGTTACCTCTGCTGTACAGCAGAGTTCTGCTATACAGCACTGCTGTATAGTGTGTATAATGTATAGTGTATAGTGTATAGCGTACAGTTCATAGTGTATAGTGTATAGTGTATAGTGTGTATAACCTGGTATTTCCGCAGAAGACAGAGCGAGGTTTAACGTAGCCAGCTCCAAAATGGGTCAGTATCAGGAGGCGTTCTCTAAAGCACTCCGGACGGTGGATATTCACCAGCGAGGAAACCACATGTTCGGCAATCCGTTCAAACTGGGCACTTCCAAGGTATGTGTAACTTTTTAATTAGCCTATTACTGGAATTAGCTATTTCATCAGATAATTAGTTGTTGTTTACGAATGATTAATAAAACAGCAAATTTCGATTTGTTTGGTAAGATTAAAAATGATATTTCTAATCGTTCGATCTTTGATCCCTCGAAACGAAGTGGATTCATTTATATTTTGTTAACAAACGTTCACCGCAGAAGCAGATGAACATGATGTTAGACGGAGTCGATGAAGTAAGAATGGAGCAAAAACCCGCCAACCGGCGCAAACAACTGCCTCTCAAACCCTTCGCCGCCCCATCGCCGCCAGAGATAGTCACGCCGCCTACTCCCTCACTGTCGGCAGTAACTCCGCCGCCAACGCCCCCTGCGCCAACTCCGCCGATCGTGCCGCCTGCTCCGCCTAATTGGACGGGTATGTGAACCTGCTAGTGCTAGTTTTTAACTGTTCTGAATAACATAATATTTTTTCAGTTAAAACGAAGCAGTAACATCGCAATTATGACGCGATTGTTTAACCTTAAAAGCCATTCTTTCTTTCTTTGTTTAATTATAACTCTAGTTTTAAAGTTTCACCCACATCTAACCCCCCCTCCCCCTCAGGTCCACCAGAGAGCGCTGCGAGAGTACCTCCGAGAGCGGAGCCCCCTAAACCCCCCAAACCTGTGTCACCAAAACTAAGCAGCAGCGCCATTACACCGTGGGTATTCACCCCAACTAGTCCGGACATTGCCGCTTCTATAGGTACGTGATTTATCCAGTTTCAGTGGAGATGAACAGAAGTTAAAGTTTGGAAGCCAAATAGTGTAAATGAGACCACGCCTGAAGATTTAGAGCGGTAATATCAATATCCAATCCAAATAGAAAGAAGTAATATCTTTAATCTTATTATAACTGTTTACAGGAAGCGGTAACGACGAAAACCCAGCTGTAGAACCAGTACAAAAGAAACCGAAACAGAATCACATAGTGAAAGAGAATGTAGTTTCGATAAACCCCTCACTGAAGGAGAGCTTCTTGAAGTTCTCAGTCAGCGAGAGTTTCATAGATAAGAACAGGATAAAAGATAACTTCAGCGGTGAAACTAACGGTGTTTCCAGAGATCATGTAAGTAATATATCTCCGACTGCACCCTGGCCCCCACCCCAAACCCATACCCACGCTTAACCAACCGACACCACTAACCCATTCAGATCGGTCAGATCTTTTTAAAACGTTGCAGTTTTTATAATTGCAAAATGCAAAAGGAACGAAATCTATTTGTTTTGATCGATTTGCCGAAATTTATTAATTTTTATCATCAACCATGCCATCTCAGGGTCGAAACGATAAAGAAACGGAAACGCATCATAAGATAAAGAAACCGAAACTATCCTCGGGTAATTCGGAGATAAAGAGGGATAACAAACGGCTCAAAGATCTCATCCAGAAAGAACTACGCAAACCTGGAAAGAGTGAGTTTGCTCTGGAATTTAGATCTTTATGCAACTCTTGATAAATATTCCTAAATGAATTCAACGTTTCACATCGTAGAAAGTTGATATTTCCTCGAAATTTTTTATTAAAATTTTGGGCAAAATTAATAATTCATGGAAGAAGTTTTTTTTTGTTTTCTTTTTTGAAGAACTGGGAACGCCTCTATTTGTGATTTATTCAGGAAATTTGTTCGATACTAACTTTTTCTCCTCAGACTACGAGCAGTTGTTTCAATACATGAACCAAGTAAAAGGAACCGCCGACACTAAACGTAACTTTGCGGACGAGATAATCACAGACGCGGAGAAATTCAGAAAGAAGCTGCTCATAGAGCGTCTGAAATCCTGGCAGAAAGAGTTGACAAATAGGTAGCACGTGCGAGATAATGAGCCGCGCGGTCAGGTGCACGTGCCGTGGATTTGACCATGTGACGTTCAGCGTGTTTAGCCGTTAATTCAGATAACGTAACCTCTCGTGATGGAGATGAGTGGAAATGGAAAGACTGAGCATGTTTAGTTGTGGAAACGAGGGACTAGTTAGACGCCCAGGTGTTTTGGAGGGTTGTTGCAACGGCTTATTTACATGAGAAAAAGTTAAAATACTTAAATTAAGTATTTAATTAAATTTCGCTCAGATTGAAATATCTTGGATTGTTTATTTAAGTCGATGTACCCCCTCCGACCCGAGGACACGGTATCGAATGTATATGTCAAACTTAAACCACATTTTATAAATACTGATAAGATGAACTGATGGATTTGTGAGGGTTCCGTTTTTACTGATGCGTTGAGAGCAAATTAAGAAGGTTTTTCTTAAACATTTCTTAAAAAGGTTTATTAAGTTATTACTTTTTAAATTGCGATAAAATCTTTCAGACGTGCCTAATAGAAAGATTTCAGTAATCCAATATCTAATTCTTATTACGAATAGATCAATGGTATTTAAACAGAGCCCCGGTATTATACCCAATTTTGTAAATACCCACTACTAGTGAAACGATCTGACCGACAACTAACGTGGAATAAACTTTCAAATTTATTGAAACTGTTTCTACACGCCTGTTCATAACTAATTAACCAATTTTGATCATACTGTACAGTTAGAAGATTGAATTCTTTAACATGCGAAGTTGGACAGAAGGTGTTGGGTTTAACGGTGACATTTTAAACACAGAAAAAGTGATCTTTAATTGTGAATCGAATGAAAAATTATAATTACAGATAAAATAACAAGATAAACAAAAGTCACTCCTATTTTGAAGTGTGCTATTGGCAATGTGTTATCTATATGATGCTTGACACAGGTAGGCGATACACACTAGTATTGAAATAGTATATAAGATTTCTTCGAGGCCATGTGATTTCTCTATAGAAACGAGAAGGTTAAAGTTTTAAAAAATTTGGATTAATAGTAAAATAACGAATGTGTATCGCTCTCTCGTGATGACATCATTTAAAGCCTATCAGTTAATCTCAGATTATACAATGCTAGTCCTCTAGTCACATTAGCTGCCCAATACCGCCAAAAGCCCATCAAGGTCTATTACGGGTTTTAGAAGGGGTATTCCCGTATGTTGTTGGTAAGTCACAGCGGTTTGCGACTGCTTCTACTAAAATACCCACCAGCAAAATATTACGTAGATGATTTACTTTTCAGAACAAATTTGTAACAGAATCTTCATTCTAACGTAACAATTACCAAACCGTAAGAATCTGCACTAGACCTCTACTTAATAGAAATTATTAATTAACTCCACCCAAGTTTAACAACAGAGCTGTGAGAATAAAATGGGTGATCAAAGGTAGATTCTGTTGAAGAGGTCCCAAAGGTCCATCATTATCACAGTTCGCTTGACCATTTAAAGACAACAAAATCCGGAATAATTTTAGAAATATTCTTAATTTCTCTATTTGCGCGTTAGGAACAGCCGTGCGCGAAACTCTACTTTATACACAAGTCTTGCAAAAATCGAAGACCCTTTATCCTGCGCCAGGAGCTCATGTCCGTGACCTGAGATTTGCTTCAGGGTACGAGAGCACAACAACTGAGAAATCTGCAGGAAGCACAGCTATCAAAAACAAAAATGTACGGCCACTTTAATCTTAATCTAACAATTTTCTAACCCGGCTACTACTTCATTGAAAGAGCGTTTATATAAAGGTTAACACACAAATCATGGAGAAAAGGAAATACTACGCCACAGTGACGTCACACATACGTCACACAACCTAGTAACATAACTCAGCTTACATCTGAATAAAAACCCCAGTACCCAACAGAATAGTCTGAAGTTCTGATTGTCAAACACAGGGAAACATCCTGGACGGGCACATTTATATATAAAAAGCGCAAGTCAGCGGAGAGGGCGAATAGCTATGAATTTTGTGTATCTGAGCTACAAATATTGACTAGTCCCGATACAAATTTGTCGCAGAGTCCCGGGTTGGCTGATTCCATGCTGACGAATATGTTCATTAGTTCGTCCACTCCAGGCTTCGTGTGCGTTTGTTTTAACTGAAAAAGAGGTATTTGTAATTAAACCGCACGTACGACGTAGTAAGTTCGACGAACGGGTACGTGTGGACTAATCATCAAATCATGACGGAATCCACCGACTATTTGAAATTCATCAAAAGAATGCACGGCTCGAGTGCAACATACCACAACCTAAACTCTCGGCTCGAGTGCAACATACCACAACCTAAACTCTAACCTTCATAAAAAGCGGTAATAAAACATCCTCCAGCGGGTCGCTCTGTTTCTTCATGTTATTGTTCAGTGTTACCTGCTCTATCTTCGTTACTGTCTCGAATACCCACTGAGGGTTACCGTCTTCTTCCCTGGAGACGAGAGGAATTTTAGTTACCATGGTAATCTGCCAATTAGAATATAGTGGTGGTGTCACGTGGTGTGGTTTAACCAATAGGGAGCCAGGATTTACTTTCTTTGGAATTTTAGCGGATAAGTAACAATGGGTTGAATATTTGGGTTTGTAGTAGTTGAGTGTTAGGCCACCAAAGCTGCATTCTTTAGATGTTTGCTATGAATGGGAGCTATGTCCAATGTAATTTGTGGTATATTCATTGATTCTGATTATATCTGAAAAATTAAACTACAAACTGCAATAACGTGAACATATGTCCATGTTTTGATGCATATATTCTGATAACCAATCTTAGCACAGAATACACACCACGTGACACAAACCAACCAATCAGAGCACAGAATACACAACACGTGACAAAAACCAACCATTTTGCTCTAGAAACACATTTTTTTAGAAATTTTACCGGCGTATCCTCTAAAATCATCTAATTTGTTCAATTTTAGGGAGGGGCGCCAGAAGGGGAGGGGGCGCCAACAGGGGGCGCTTTTTCAGCGGAGGGGGGGGGGGGGGCCTCCAAGGGGGTGTTTTTTCAGCGGAGGGGGGGGGGGGGGGGGCCAACAAGGGGGTGCTTTTTCAGCGGAGGGGGGGGGGGGGGGCAACAAGGGGGCGCTATTTCAGCGGAGGGGGGGGGGGTGCACAGAGCCGACTATTACTCACTCATTAGACGGTTTGTCCTCTTCGTCGCTGCTGCTGCCATCTCCTCCGTCCCACTGTTTGTACGCCTCTACTACTTCTGCTAGACACCCTGTTTTCTTGGCACCCCGGATAAACTTGTGTTTCAGGAGCTCTTTTGCAGGCGGGCGCTGAGGATTACAATTAGGATTATAATCAAATTTACACTGCAATACTTTTGCAGGCGGGCGCTGAGGATTATAATTAGGATTATAATCAAATTTACACAGCAATACTATGTAAATAGTAAATACTATGCTCTTTCGCAGGCGGGCGCTGAGGATTATAATCAGGATTATAATAAACACAGCAATACTATGCTCTTTTGCAGGCGGGCGCTGAGGATTATAATTAGGATTATAATAAACACAGCAATACTATGTAAATAGTAAATACTATGCTCTTTTGCAGGCGGGCGCTGAGGATTATAATTAGGATTATAATAAACACAGCAATACTCTTTTGCAGGCGGGCGCTGAGGATTATAATTAGGATTATAATCAAATTTACACTGCAATACTATGTAAATAGTTAATAATTTAAAGACGCTCAATCTGCCGTGCAGGTCCTATTGGAGAGAGAATCAAACATTAATCAAATGTTAATGGGAATACTTAATTCTATAATTATGTCAAGTTTGTTTGTTGTTGTTGTTGATAAACAATAGGATTTTTGGCAGAATACGGTGGATGAAAAAGTATTTTTTTGCCGAGGTTTTATGTTAAAATTCATGATTTAAACGATAAAGAAAAGTAACAAAAGTAAAAACAGCAACAATATCAACTAACATTTTCAGGGTCCCTATTAAGACAAGAAGCGACAAAATCTTTAAAGGATTTAGTGTAGTCTCCATCGAGTTCAGGAGGCTTGTTTTTAGGTATGAGGAATAGTACTCTCATAGGATGAAGACCTGCGGTGTGACATAATTAGTTAATTTTATGTAATTACTTAATTAATTAGTTAATTTTATGTAATTGGTTATTGTATAATAATCTGTTTTCGTTCTTTTGAGTGGGTCGATCATATAAGTGGGACAAAGTGAGAGTCTCCACTGAGTGGAGACTCTCACTTTGTCCCAAAAATCAATTAGTTAATCAATTAGTTAATGTAATAATAATAAATTGAAATTTAATAACACCACTTTTAAACCTCAGCAGTGATTAAACTAAGTAGAGGTAGCTTATAATGCTTGAAAATATATCGTGAATACTAATGAATGTAATGTAATATAAGTAATGTAATTACGGTATTATTCTAGAAGGTATGAATAAACACTTTGTTACGTCATCAACAGCTGCTACTGTCACGCGACTGCAATTATTCCTTATATAGCTGTTTGAACTCAGCTATTAGGTTTGTACTTAGTTGTTAGGTTTGTATGGCGTTTGTTTCGTAACGTTATAGTTAATGTGTTCTTGTGTAAATTTGTATTGATCCCGTTTGATGCGACAAGGAATAATAATAGTTAATAATAATAGCACTATAATAATAATATAGTTATATTAGCACATTATCGATTCTAACTTCTGTTTCACTGGTTTTATTACGTTATCTACACCGGCTACTGAAAGGTTGGTAACTAATATGATGTAACATTAGGTAATACCTGGTAACAATAACTGGTAACTAATATAATGTGATACCTAGATAATACCTGGGAACAGTGTAGGAGGAACATAACTGAACGAAGTAAATGACGGATGATATTGCACACAATTCGATTACACGATAGAACCGCCGGCTCAAACACTTCATTTCTCGTCCCGGTGAACAATAATTTGTTTTACACTAGTAACAGTTTTCATGGTACTGCCACTGTATACTCGATTTATTATGTCGTGATTACCGTGCTACTTTTGAGTTTTGTTTTGCTTACTCCGTCTCTTGGAGACGCTGTAAATATAAAACTTTATAGTCGTCATTTTATATTGTTTTGTGTCTGATGGGGAGGCTGTACTGTGAATATTGTATTAGTTTCCGTCTTAACCTTTATTTATTAATTTATTATTTTCTAACTACTGAAAACGAGCAAATTCTTAGTTGCAGTGAACATTGTATTGTGAACGTCAGTCCGTGTACAGTAACACTGCATAAATGAATAGTGATGATGTGACCGCATATGGAGGTTGGTAACTAATATGATGTAACATTAGGTAATACCTGGTAACAATAACTGGTAACTAATATGAAGGTTGCTAACGTTATAGTTAATGTGTTCTTGTGTAAATTTGTATTGATCCCGTTTGATGCGACAAGGAATGATAATAGTTAATAATAATAGCACTATAATAATAATATACATAGTTATATTAGCACATTATCGATTCTAACTTCTGTTTCACTGGTTTTATTACGTTATCTACACCGGCTACTGAAAGTCAGTTGTTTGGTCTTCATACTGTAATATATTTTGTTGTATGACAAGTAACTTTAAAATTGCCTCCCAAACTTTAGTGATCGTTTAATTTTCTAAAACCTTTTTTAGAAAGATTTTAGACGTTTAACACGACTCAAAGAATGTGAAAGGATCGCGAAAGCACCTTCCAACAGCCATGGAAAATGACGAGGTTCAACTAAAGAAGACTGAGGATGAACTCTTACAAAATATGGAGGAGGCAGGAAAGGAAATGTTTGCAGCATGTATCCACTGGGATGCAATTGCTCAGTGCTCCATAATGTTTCCTCCCAGCCCAGCCTCACCATTCATCGACAAATTCCCCTCAGAAAACCTGAGAAAATCAGAACAATCCGCAGCCAAACAACAGGCCGGATACGAGGGAGAAGTTAAAGTATTCAGAGCTTTAGAAGATTTAGGGCAGGGGAGAATCGTTCTACATAGTTTAAAATACACCCATCAGCAGTACGGACTTTTTGTAGATCACGAGTGTAAGAGGAAGGACCAAGAAGAGGAAGGAGAAACTGATTTCCTGGTGGTTCACGATGGTTTCATTGCAGTTGTAGAAGTCAAGACTCTTGAGAAGTGCAAGAAAAATCTAAAAACGGTGTTTGAAAGGAATTATAAGAAGTCAAAACAGCAGAGGGAGAAAACTTGCAGATTAATCAAAGGAATTTGCAGGAAAGTCGGTTTAGGCGAACCGGAAATACGACAATTCACAATTTTCACAAACATCACCAGAGAAACGGCCGAACAAATATCTAAGTATTCAAGTTTAGAAGAAGAAGAAAAGCATGACATTCTTTTTGAAGACGATCTTGTTTTGGGCGAGCATAAAACTAAGAATGTTGAGCAATGCTTTGATATGTTCTACAAGAGAGGACATGGTATTGGAGCGGGCGAGAGTGAGGGACAATCTAATAAAACTTTGGAAGCTAAAGTTTTGTGGATTCTTCTTGGTCTCTGGTGTGTTGATAATGAAAATAAATTCAACACAGAAAAATGTGATCTAGGAAAGACGATTAATCACATTGACGTACTCTTAAAAGACGCCTTAATCACAAATAAACCTGAGGGCCCAACATCCTCCAAAATTAAAGGTTCTCCAAAAGTGTTCAAAGATCTGGGAATTAAATGTCTTACTGTTGAACAGAAAAATGTATTCTATGATAAGAAGCCCAGATTGTTGATAAACGGTCCTGCTGGAAGCGGAAAAACATTGCTGATTATGGGGAAGGTTATTCAACTGGTGAAAGAATCCGAGACTTCTATTATAATTCTTGTTTCAAACAACCTGATAGCAGAAGAGTATAAAACGAATCTGCAAAAATTCGGTATAAGCTCTTGCATTGTCAATTATGGACGTAACTTCGACGAGGATTCCATAAAATGGGAAAATAAACTTTCTATCGTTTTCTTTTCGGACTACTTCAATGCCAATGCTTCGCCGGAAATGGCTGTCGAAGAGAGACTCAGTGGATTGATAGAAGTTTTCCAAACTGAATCTCACATTTTTATAGACGATTTCCATGATTTTGCGTTTGCAGTTGCAATGTCATCCAGTACATTAGATTATCTTCTATGTGCAATTCTGAGGTCTCAGCCAGAGCTAAACGATGAAATTGAAGATATATGGCAATTCGTTCTATCCAAAATATGTTTACCTTCTCCCAAACTGCTTTGGGTTTCTTTTGACTCATTGCAATCACCAGTTAATGCTTTTGATCAGCAGTTGGGAGACCTTGAGGATTGGAAATCAAAAATACATGTTCACGAACTATCAGCAAACTTAAGGAACAGCTATGAGATCGCATATTTTCTTGATTTTATACGAAATGAAAAGTTGGCCAACATAGGTAAGCGCATAGGCATTTTCAATGCCCTTCAAAACAAGAAATACAAGGCAGCCAATGGAAAAATTTACAGGGACAGCCTTTCATACATACCTTTTGATGTAAAGCAAGATATAGGCCACTACATACACGGACCCACCCCAAGGATTCTTTTGGTCGATGTTCATGGGAGAAAGAAGCATACTGTAGCAGGCTATTTGACAGATTCTTTAACAAATGAACTATCAAAACTTGTTGGATGCAGTTCAGTCGCAATAATCCATGATGACTACGGTCAAAGACTCAAAGATGTAAAAGGTTATAATTATGTTAGGTTGGAAGACGTTTGTCAGCAATCCAAAGAAAAAATAGATAGTGATTTTCCTGCTTGTAAAATGGGTTTGCAAGTTCATCATTTCGATGAAATAGCCTCCCTTGAATGGCCAGCAGTTATTGGAATCATTGAAGTAGATGACCGTGATAGAATCCCATCAGAGGATTTAGATAATTACTTCGCATTTTTCCGTAACATTGACCCTGTATTATTCGAGATATTCAATTTTTCAAAAGATCAAATAGATGCCTTTTTAACAAAAATGTACCAAATCGTCTCGAGAGCGAGGGTCTATTGTACTTTCATTCTGGTGACAAACCTCAAGAAGCCAATTTATACTTTTATGAGAAACCCATCTACAATTGACGATGAAGAAAGGCCTCTACAAATTGGATTCGACTGTGATGCAGTTTTTCCATTTTCCAAAATCGGAATTTCAAAAAAGGAGTATAAATCAGTGAAATTGACAAACCAGTACTATTACGTAATTATCAATAAAGCCTTGCAAAAACATGAAAAAGATGGCCAAAATAAGGATCTCTTGATAGAAATTCTTGTAAGTTTTGGCTTGGATCCAGAACATTTCAAAAAACCAATAAATTTGCCAAACGAAGAGCTTTCGAAGATCATTCGCAACGTTACCGGGATCAAGCCTTGGATTGGAGAGTTTGTAGATAGAATGACGTCGTTTGTCATCAGTCATTTCCATTCCCATGCGTGCGTTGACGAAGAAATGATCGAAATTTGCGATAACAAAGATATTGATTATCCCAGTCAGCACGAAGTAATATTAATGAAGGCAAACGATCTTCTTTTTACCAAAGCTGATAGCAAAGCCGCTCAAATAACTCAAGAAAAAGAGGTTAAAACTGATGAGGGTGAAGATGAAAAGGTTGAAGCTGAGGAGAATACAACTGTTGGCGTTAAAACCGACGAGGTTCAGAAAAAAAGACATTTGCGGCTTTGGCACGAAGCTAAAACACCTGAAGAGAAGTTCTTCATGTGGGCGTTTCAATCTTTCTTCAAATGGCACTTGGAAAAGACAAAATTCATTGACTAAAACCCACCCAAATCAGACTAACCAATAAAGGATGCAGCATATACTTCACCTGTCACATACCAACCAACCAGAACATAGAACGTGACAATAAAAAAGCTCACCTGCAAGCGGGGGCTCTCCCTTTGCCATCTCGATAGCAGTGATTCCCAGGGACCAGATGTCCGCTCTCGTATCGTAGGAGGACTGTTTTATTACTTCCGGGGCCATCCAGAATGGGGTTCCTAAAGGGGTGGGACCGTCAGAGTAATAGTGGATCACAATATGGGACTTAAAATAACGTTATATTATTTTAAAGTATATCATTATTAGATATTGTGCGGTGTGAACTGTAGTTATAGATTTATATTCTGTAATTTCTGATATTCTAATTTCTTAATGTGATAGTGTTCTGTAATGTGATAGTGTTCTGTAATGTATTCAATAATTCAAACATATTTTAATCAATTAATACATTTTATATCAATTGGTATCATTTCTTTCCAAGATTGTGTAGCAAAAACTGCTTCTATCAACTTAAACAAGCTCCTCAATTAATTTCTATAATACAGTACGATCATTCCTTAATGTGCGTTTTTGCAATGCCCTAATAAGGAAGTGTCTTATCTTCACTGCCCTCAATTATACAGAGAGTGTACAATGTACATTGTCAGTGTGTTGCTATGTACACTGTACATAGCAACACACTGACAATATACTTATTATTAACTATTTCAACAGGGAGATGCAATGTAGTGTTCAACAGGGACATGTTACTGACGTCTCACTCTGCGATAATAGCAGGGGCCGGGGGAGATGGTATTTATATTTTGATCTGTAAAATATATTTAATAAATTTTAGAGACTTGATTTACTGACGAAATTGTTGGAAAAAACAATGGGCTCAAACCTTTTAAATCATCAACAAACATTGCGCCGGGGAAGGCATGTCTATGTTTTTACACCATTGAAATATTGACTAGAAAGTTGTAATAAACTACAAACTTGTCCCCCCTGGCCCCTTCACTCACTGTACTACTGTCGCGAAGTGTTGACAGATTAGATACAGCGAGGTTAAAATAAAGCAGGACCTAGTTTAACTTATAGTTGTATCTCTACAGTACTCTAATGTTTCTAGGTTACTAGGTTACTAGGTTACTAGGTTACTAGGTTACTAGGTTAAAATAGAACAGGACCTAGTTTAACTTATAGTTGTATCTCTACAGTACTCTAATGTTTCTAGGTTACTAGGTTACTAGGTTACTAGGTTACTAGGTTACTAGGTTAAAATAGAACAGGACCTAGTTTAACTTATAGTTACATATCTCCAGTACTCTAATGTTTCACGCTCCAAACTTGTTATCTGACATGGTGTGTTAAATCTTGATGGTAGTTTGTGTCATAAAAAGAAAAGAAACATATTCTATTAGACTTTTACTTACTCCCAGTTCAATTTGTAACGGAGTTTTATATTAACAGGAAACGATGTAACAGAGTCAATATATTTTAATGTTGCCATGGGGTGGCAAGTCCCCATACGAGATGGTCTAGGAGGATGTCCCTGATTTACGCTCGTCTACATACTCGTTGTTATATTGTTGTGATGTTTTGAGTTCAAAGTTTATGATAATTCCGTATATTAAAGTCACTATTGTACCTCGGTTTCAGTTCCTTGTTTAACACTGCCGTACAGGGAAACTGCGACCAAGGCCAGGGAAACTGTTGAACTCTAAACACAACAACAACTCATCAATAATGTTCCTATCCGGACACAGTATACTGACCTACGAAAGTGTGTCGTTTGGTGAGGGTGTCAGTTAGTTGTCCTGCTACTCCGAAATCTGCAAGCTTCACGTCTCCGTTACAAGAGAGCAGTATGTTAGCAGCTGTAAAAATAGACAGTTGGTTAATTAAAAACAAACAATTGATTAATTAGAAACAAACAATTAATTCATTTGTTGTTGAATTTAAGTTGATTAATTAATAAACTAACCGATCAAAACACTGTTAAACCTCGATTCAGCTAGTTAATTTAGCCTGACATTCACACCACGTGACACAAACCACCCAATCAGAGCCCAGTATTCACACCACGTGACACAAACCACCCAATCAGAGCCCAGTATTCACACCACGTGACACTCACCAACCAATCAGAGCCCAGTATTCACACCACGTGACACATACCTTTGATGTCTCTGTGAAGTTTCCTTTCTCCGTGGAGGTAATCCAGTCCTTTTAACACTTCTCTGAGCATGATAGCTATACTTGACTCGTCCAGAACATTCGCTTTTATCTGAAAATTACATTTTATTTACATCAATTATACAACAAATTCTACAGTCGCTGCTAACAGTGGACTTAAGACTCTTTCTGTTGACAAAAAGGGGGAGTTAGGAAAGGTTAGAATATCCAGATACTTGTGGGAGGGGGGGGGGGCAAAAAGTCTGCCGTTTTGATGAAACTGTAAGAACCCTACAATCTATAAAACTATAAGCTAAGAAGAACAATATGTACTTGAACTCTAGCTTAAATCAAGGAAACCTTCCAAGACCATCCCCGACCCTGATCTGTAGGAATGTAGATCATAAGGAGTAGTTCGGTACATTCCAGTACATTTTGTACACTCAGGAGGATGAAGGAATGTAAGTTGTGACTAAATGTACACTGGAATCGTGCGTTTAGTAGGATCTTATAGTTTTGTGTACAATTACTATTTACTATATTACTTTAACATGCAGCATATTATAATGTGTGAGCATGTGTAGGAGTTATCTGCACGTGCAAGTAAAATATGCACGTGCGAGTGCAATGTGCACGTACGAATAATGTGTAAAACCACAGTTGTACAACGGGCGGTTCAGTAAATTATCTGTTATACTTATAATTTTACCGTTTAAAAGGTTTAATTCAGTACTGAATGTTAAGCTGATATTAATAATTATTAATGGTGTAAATTTGTGCACAATTTGACTGTTTAACTAAGCTATGTGTGCACATTGTACAATTTAAATTATCAGGAGTACATCGTTCAGTAACTTAATTAAGTTAAGTTCAGTAACTTAATTAAGTTAATATGACGGTATTATAGTAGAGAAAATAAAATTGGTATCTAATATTTCCCATGGAAAGTAAAATCAGCATTCCTCCCGAGCCGGATCTATAAATCAACAGTTATTAAATAACTTAAGTAACTTGAATAACTTAAATAACTTAAATAACTTGAATAACATTGCTCGGGTTGGTTACATCATCACTATATTTAAAGTTTTCAGCAGCGTTAAAAAGCCTACAAGATCTGTCATGGCTGGAATGTGAAGCACGTGTATTAAAGGTATGTACAGTAAGCTCACTGTGTACAAATCTTATCTTCTTAATAATGCATTATATCTACACTGTCTAATAAATAAATAAATAAATAAAGTCAATTTTTACAGCACAGCAATATATATCTAAATATCAGATCCTCTGTAATCATAATGTACATGATACATGATACATACTAATATATTATATATAAATACGCTAAAATATACTCTATTACTACACTATGTATACTTTATTTAATACAGTATAATATATACTCAATTAATACACTAGTTGTTATACGCACTTGTACGTTATACAGTTGTTAGATATCACTAAAGCACAAAGAACCACGCCCTTATATCTCCATCTTCCCAATGTGTGTAATAGTGGACGAGTGACAAAACCACTTGGGAAGTCAAGGTGGTAATTGCTTCTTTCAGCTGTACACTTCTGAGGCTAACCGTATCTAAAAACAATGCTTCCACAAATGATATTCAGATTCACGTGGTGGCTTAGAGTTTCCAAGCCTAAAATTATGACGAACAGCTGGCTCATTAACTGGCTAAATGTATTATTTTCTGTTCTGTGATAAAAACCCAGAGCACCAGTTTTTCATTTGGCGTACCTAATGTTCGTTTGTATTAGCGACAAGAGAAACGCCATTGTTGGACGTGACGAGAGTGAGGAATCCTTATTATATATATATTAAAGTCACTATTGTGACGGTACATTAGAACTAGACAGAAACAAAGTGTGAAGGGCCTGAACGGAACCCCTCGGTTTCAGTTCCTTGTTTAACACTGTCGTACAGCAAGGACATCCACCGCGCCAGGTTCTATGTCGGATATATTTATCGGATATATTTATTTTCAAAGGCTGTCACGTGATTGAAACGAAAATATTCACAAATGTCGACTAATGACTAAAAGAACATTTCACGTACTAAATAATACTTCACGTGGCTTTAATATCTGCAACCAATTAGCAAGGGGTATTTGACCCGTGAAAATAAACTAATAATAATAATTTATGGCTTTAACCGACGAGAAAACAATTCCAAATATCTACTGATCCTGACAGATATTGGATTTACTTCATTACAGTTATTAGACAAATTAGATTTAAGTTATTTCCAGAATATTCAACAACACCATAATATTATAATAAGGGTAATTCTCAAGATAATAAGATCAATAAGCCAGGAAAATTATATTAATATTACGTCATTAATCCTATTGTACTTACCCTAAAACCCTAGATTGAGATTGTAAAATTTAGCGGATTTAAGTATCATGATCTAAAGAAGAGTACCAGGTCACAGTAAGTATGTAATGTGTGGCGTGGTGAGGTGTGGTCGTGTAGTGGGTGTGGTGGGGTGGGGTAGGGTGTGGTGCTGTGTTATTATTATATTATCAGAATTACATAACAGAGGGGGGACTCGCCCAAGTTAGGGAATATATTTCACAGATCATGATTCATGCATAGTATAGTATTGCTACTTATTTAATGCAAAGATCATGTACATTATTGTACAACTACTGTCTATAATTGCTTTGTCATAACAACATAGATGCCAATGTACATGTGTATTAACAATTACCCAGTTCCAATATTCAGGCACTTCATTCTAGGCGGGGCAAGTACAACAGAGGGTGTCAGATCAGGTACTCACCCCAACCAATCAGGACACAGAATACGCACCACGTGACACCAACCAACCAATCAGGACACAGTATTCAAGCAAACCAACCAATCAGGACACAGTATTCAAGCAAACCAACCAATCAGGACACAGTATCCAAGCAAACCAACCAATTTTTAAACAGTAAATATTTGGAGCCAAAATAAATGTTTAATTCGCTGGAATGACGGGAACTATGTAGAGAGAGCTAAAGGTGGGACGGCAGTTACTTGGCACATACCACCGTGCCAACGTTACCATGGTTACTAACGTTACCGTGCAACCTAAACAATTACTGCTAGTTTAACTGAGTTTCGTGCTGGTTAAAAAACAATTAATAATAACTCCACATGGTATGTAAGTATTAACCAGACCTGTTTCTTTAATGGAAGGGAACGAGGAAAGCTAAAGGAGACACGAAACAACCAATCAGAGCACAGAACACACACCACGTGACACAAACCAGCCAATCGCAGAAACATTGGAGGTGTGCGATTACAGGGCGTTATAAAAGTGGAAACTTTTTGTTTTTTATATATTTCAAGTTGATAATTCTTAGGAGAGATGTTGAACATTCATACGCACTGTTGAACATGTTGAACATTCATACGCACCCTAGTCTTTGCAATATCTTATGGTTGTAAACCAAATACTATCTAATATGCTTATGATATCACCGGTTGTAAATAAGATATTATCTAGTTTTAACAATAACTTACCAATTGTAAAATATATAAAACTATTTAGTTTTTACTTACCAACTGTAGAGCGGATCCTCCCCCGAGGTACTCCATCACTATCCATAACTTGGCGCCCTGAAACCAACACAACTATTATAATCTTAATAAAATAAACTATAATTATTATCCATAAATTCATATTTAAATAAACACGAAATGATATAAGCTCCTTTTGCCCCTTCTACGGCACTGCTCCTTTAGAAACCACGCCACTCCGCAATACTGTGATGACACTGTGCCGAGTACTGTTACCGAGCAACTCCCTATTATCTTACTCATGAATAATTAATATTAATCATAACTCCTGTATTAACTCAGCAGCACATCAAGTAGGGGGGGGGGCCTAAATTTTTGAATTTTCGATGCGTCTAGGGCCTTTAAGGGCGTTGCCCCCCCCCCCCCCCCCCCCAAGTAGCATGTGATTCATGAATAACCAGTATTAACCACATGACTCCTGTTATTGACGGTCTCCTTTGAGAGGTGGCAAGCTGCCAATATTACAGTCTCTTTGAGAGGTGGCAAGCTGCCAATATTACAGTCTCTTTGAGAGGTGGCAAGCTGCCAATATTACAGTCTCTTTGAGAGGTGGCAAGCTGCCAATATTACAGTCTCTTTGAGAGGTGGCAAGCTGCCAATATTACAGTCTCTTTGAGAGGTGGCAAGCTGCCAATATTACAGTCTCTTTGAGAGGTGGCAAGCTGCCAATATTACAGTCTCTTTGTCCCACAAACAGAACATTATCGTTATGTTATGTTTAATGTGGGTACATATGCTGCTGTGGTTGTCATGATGTCACTTGTGTTCAGTGCAAATATTAGAATTACTACTAATTATTACTACAGACTACTTCAGACTACTATTAACTATACAGTACTATTATAGGCTACTATAGACTACTAGAGACTGTTCTTTGGAACGTGGCCCCCTGACAGAGGCGGGGTAAGGTTGTTCTAAACTGTGTTAATTTACCAAAATGGTAGATATAGCATGAACTGGCCAGGCATGAACTGGTCAGAGGTCAAATTTGTTTGAGACCTTTACAAAAGTCAAAATAAGCTTACGCCAAAACTAATCAATCGAAACATTTTCATCATTTTAACAAACAAATAAACAAGATTTCTACCGACCTTTAGGTATGAGCCGTGGTATTTAGTAACATAAGGAGAGTCGCACTGTGATAAAACTGTAATCTCCTGTTGGATATCTTCAATCTCGTCCTCTGCTTCCTCTAAATCTATTATCTTTATCGCTACTATCTCTTTCGTTGTGTTATCTATCCTGTGGTTGGTTGGTTTGTGTCACGAGGTGTGAATACAGTGCTCTGATTGGTTGGTTTGTGTCACGTGGTGTGAATACAGTGCTCTGATTGGTTGGTTTGTGTCACGTGGTGTGAATACAGTGCTCTGATTGGTTGGTTTGTGTCGCGTGGTGTGAATACAGTGCTCTGATTTAAGAATAAATAAGTTATGATTAGCTGTTTTAACTTGTTTTACCAATAGTGCAAGTCATGGGTTTCAGCAGATGTTGTATGTCAAAGGGACACACTGATGACCTAATATAATAAATAACCGTGACAGTATTCAGTGTATGCGTCAAGTTGCAAGCCGATATCTTAAGAATACAGTGCTCTGATTGGTTGGTTTGTATCACGTGGTGTTAGTACAGTGCTCTGATTGGTTGGTTTGTATCACGTGGTGTTAGTACAGTGCTCTGATTGATTGTGTGTGATCTCATGATATGACAAGGTGCGGACACTTTATTTAGCACTCTGTATTATATATTGCGTAATATCTGTTCACTGTATATGTAGTCCGTGCACAATGCCGAACTGCACAATGCCAAATTGCACAATGCCAAATTGCACACATTATAAAACCTAAACTGCACTGCACACTATGTAATGTAACAACAATGATATAATCACAACAAGTTTAGTAGTGTCGTATAACGGCCTAGTATAAGCTGAGGTCATCACTCTCTTGAATATATCAGAGAGAGAGTGGGGTTGTTATGACGACATTTTGAACGGTCAGTTACACTGGATGTTACACGTTGTTACACTGGATGTTACACGTTGTTACACTGGATGTTACACGTTGTTACACTGGATGTTACACGTTGTTACACTGGATGTTACACATTGTTACACTGGATGTTACACGTTGTTACACTCGATGTTACACGTTGTTACACTCTATGTTACATGTTGTTACACTCGATGTTACATTCGATGGTTGGAACAGAGCCAATATATTTAAATGTAAAACAACAGGAAATAATGGAAATATTGACGCACCCTTTAAAGACCTCTCCAAAGGATCCTCTTCCTATCCGCTCTAATTTCTGAAATAACTTCTCCGGTTCAGTCGGCTGCTGTGCCTGAAATAAAACGGTAAAAATAATAAAATAGTTTTTATTAAAGGACCAGTTAACTGAAAAATTTGTAGTCTCCAATTTGGCTAAGATTTAAATCAGCTGTGACAAACTGGTAAAGAATCGTATCGCCGAAAGAACCAACTCTCTAGCGTACGTGTAACGCGTGTTATTGCAATAATAAGCTGTGGCCTCGTGACGTCATAAAGTCCCTCAGTGCGCGCTTGCATAGCGTAATTTACATTACAAATGTTTCCCAGCTCAAGATTTATGCGAGATTGCGAGCCGGACTCATCGCACAAAATTTGTAAATAAATGAGGAAACAGAAAAAGTTTAACTTAAAAGTTGAGGGAATTAGGAACTTAACATGTATTTTATACTCTTAACGTGTATTTTATCACTTGTTAATAGCGTGAAAACTTCGACGTAACGCGCGCGAGATTTTTGCCAGATTTTTGCGAGTTTCGTTTAAATCTCATAGCTAGGCTCACAATATCGTGAGATTCTCCGCGAGATTTCGGCACCCTCTTTCAGCACTACATATTCGGTCGCGCGCTTGCATTTTCATCGCTTTTCAGCGTGTTTATTCACTGTACTGTCTAAGTCTTAAAGGATACTAGTTGTTATAAGATCAAGATTCACAGTGGTTACTATAGTTACCATGGTTACCATTAAAGGAGGTACTATTCCTGGCTATATTCTTTCTCAGAATATACTTGATACTGCCATAGGCATAGTGAATATTTCTTCATTAAAAGTTTGAGAAAGGGTCTCTTCAACTGGAGAACTGACTTATTAATCCTAGCAGGTAATTAACTCTGGATCCTCATCACATTGATTCCATTCTAAATTCTAGCCATAAACAAAACAAACATTACCAGATAACTCCGTTTACAATAATTTGACATGTTCCAGTGTGAACGAGGCCTTCCCCGGACAAATCCTTAAATGCCGGTCTTCTCAGTCTCTTAGTTCTCTAGATGAAGTACGAACAGTATAATCTATCGGATAACGTATATTACAAGGTGCTCTGATGATAATTTTAGTAAAATAATTAATAATTGCCAAAAGAATGACCGCTGACGAGACTCGAACCCGAGTCAACTGCTTGACGAGCGCGCCCTCAACCATCGTGCTACGTGAGGCTTACCAATATTACAATATGTAACATAATATAATTCATGAAAATACGCACGTAAATTTTTCGTTATTTATGGATCCAATAACAGTGACATACTTTTCGCTTACAAAGGGACTCGCGAAATCTTTTTAAATAGAAAATAATTTGTGGGGCAAGAAATCTTGCAGGGGGGGGGGGGGGGGGGGGGGGGGGGGGGGGGGGGGGGGGGGGGGGGGGGGGGGGGGGGGGGAGTACATTTCGTGAAAATCGCACTTCTAGTGTCAGAATCCAATCTCATCGCACTTTTTTTAGAATCTTGATAGGGGAAATGTTTATCATCGTCAATAAAACACGTGTAACTCACTCAAATTTTAGAATTATGACTATTACCCTAGTTCTCCAAAATCCTTATAGTTTTGGCTATCATCCTAACTAAAGGAATAGCTGATTGGATGTACAGTGCTCACGTCATGATTTTAAACAGTGATATAGGTTCTTGAACAGTGGCGGGTGAATGTACGGTTAGAAAGTTTCTGCTATTACAACTTATGTCATATGTGATAATTTTGGATTGTTTTCATTGCTTGATTACACAAGCAGGGAGACTGTACCGATTATTTTTCCCCAGTCCATGAAACTCTAACGAATTTAGAAAGGATACAGATAAGTAGGAGTTTGTTCAATTCCGAGAGCAATTATATTTATAGCATAGCGAAATTTCTAACTTTAATCTGAAAGTGTCTGCCAGTACAGGAGACAAGAAGTCTGGCTACTTTACGGCCGTTCCTCTGGGACCATTAGTAGAAGTAGCTTCTATCAGAACAGTGCCGTGGGAACAGAATTCCCGCCAAAATACCCGGTCTACCAAATAGTAAAATTACTAATTGGAGGTGTGTACGGTGTGAGGTGTGTTTTGAATTAGACTTCCGGCTTACCTAGTTGTTATCCTAATTGCATTATCATCGGTGCATAACATAAATAAACTACTGGTAAGTTTAAATACCAAGTGCAAACGTGTTCAGTCGATCGACCCACTGAACAACTATAAAATTTCCAAGACCCTATTATTCTCTGGCCATATATTACGGCACGATCGATTGTTAGATGGCTAAATGACCAACGTTAATCTATACAATTCTAAAACTATGAGCTAGCACTTTAATCTAAAAATACCTTTTTTATATTACTCCTGATTTTTACATTTCACGTAAAACATTGTTGCCAGAGGTTGATCATGGACACTAACAGCTTAATTTGAGATAAATGACTTATGAGTTTCTCTAAAGTTAACTCTAAAGTTGTGTAGTCCAGTCATTTATGGACATTTATGGAAATGAACCTGCAAATGTTCTCATACTCACGAAACTTTGCACAGACCTTCCCGAAGTTATGATTAAACGATTTTCGTTTGGAGACATTTTTTTGACCGTGGAGAAAACCCAGGAGGGCCACGCCCATATTGACCCAATAACGTAACCGACCCCTTGCTTCTGAAGGTCGTAGAGACTTCAAAATAGGCTTGAACGAAGCCGCATATGCATGTTTATATAGGAGTTATTGAGCAACACATGGCCTAAAATCCTTACTTTTCGATAAATTCGCCAAAAACCATTTTGGGCGTGGTGCTAAGCCCACTTTCGATATGATCGTGATGGAGTCTTCAGACAGGATGCAAAAGAACCGCAATTAGCATATTAATATATGACTTACGAACAAACATATGCCTTAAAGTGCTTACTTTTTCAGTTATTGGCGAAAAACTGATTTTCGGTTCCAGAAATCATGCAAAACTATGGGTATCTGGTTAATTGGGCTATGAAGGCCCTAAAGGTTTTTGAATGTGTGCAAATTGTGCAGAATGGCCATGTTTATATACAACTTATGAAGCAACATGTACCCTAAATTACTTACTTTTCGAGTTATTCGGGGGAAAAGATTGTATTATGTCCATTTTTTACCTGTAAAATACAGTCTCACGAGCTACTCTGCGCGCAAGAGGGACTTTATGACGTCATCGCCAAAATAATACAAACGCTAATTACACGCGTTAGAGAGCAGTTAGAGATTTAGGAATTTCGACTCGTTGCTTAGTTTGCTATTTGTCACAATCTGTCAAAATATGAGGATAACTTTTTTTTCAGTTAACTGGTCCTTTAATTCACAACTGACAGATTACAAATCACAGGTTATAGGTTACGATTCACATTAGACAGTTTATAGATTACAATACACAGGTTACAGGTTACGATTCACAGTTTACAATTTTCTATTTACAGTTGAAAACAGTTTTCAGTTAACGACAGCTGTAACACGCAGCAGTGCTTTAGAATGGGTCCAATGCACTGCTGTGTGTCATACTCACAAATCACAATATGTGATGAAAAGTAATTCACTTAATTCTCCTCCTAGTGTATAGGTTATAACTCACAATAAGGATAGGTTTACAATTTTCTATTTACAGTTGAAAACAGTTTTCAGTTAACGACAGTAACACTCAGCAGTGCTTTAGAATCGGAGTTCGTCCAATGCACTGCTGTGTGTCACAAATCACAATATGTGATAAAAAGTAATTCACTTAATTCTCCTCCTAGTGTATAGGTTATACCTCACAATAAATGATAGATTTACGATTTTCTATTTACAGTTTAAGACAGTTTTAAGTTGACGACTATTACACTCAGCAGTGCTTTGGACGAACTCTCACAATAATTGTGCAAAGCACTGCAGCGAGTTGTAGTAACAAATCACAATGTGTGATAACAACTAACAAGTAATCCACTTTTTAATTTTCCTCTTTTTCTACGTGACAACAAATAACATTCCATGCATTTCAAGATTCCATACTTGAAAAGTTTTTAAAACCCTAAAATATGGAAGAATCACTAAAAACAACGATTGACGCAAATAACGCAAAAATAACGCACAAATTAACTGTCTGACAATGTTTGAGATTCCAGACAAACTCTAGCCTTATTCAGTGCTGACACGAGTGGTGCAATGTCAAAGAAAGACTAAAAATGTGATTAAAATTGTCCCACTATTCACTAAATAGGTGGCTACAATCTACTATAAACCCCGGCCCCCTTGGTCGGGTACACCCCCGGCCCCCCTTGGTCGGGTACACCCCCGGCCCCCTTGGTCGGGTACACCCCCGGCCCCCCCCCCTTGGTCGGGTACACCCCCGCCCCCCCCCCCCCTTGGTCGGGTACACCCCCGGCCCCCTTGGTCGGGTACACCCCCGGCCCCCTTGGTCGGGTACACCCCCGGCCCCCCTTGGTCGGGTACACCCCCGGCCCCCCTTGGTCGGGTACACCCCCGGCCCCCTTGGTCGGGTACACCCCCGGCCCCCCCCCCCTTGGTCGGGTACACCCCCGGCCCCCCCCCCCCCTTGGTCGGGTACACCCCCGGCCCCCTTGGTCGGGTACACCCCCGGCCCCCTTGGTCGGGTACACCCCCGGCCCCCCTTGGTCGGGTACACCCCCGGCCCCCCTTGGTCAGGTACACCCCCGGTCTCCCTTGGTCGGGTACACCCCCGGCCCCCTTGGTCGGGTACACCCCCGGTCCCCCTTGGTCGGGTACACCACCGGCCCCCTTGGTCGGGTACACCCCCGGTCCCCCTTGGTCGGGTACACCCCCGGCCCCCTTGGTCGGGTACACCCCCGGCCCCCTTGGTCGGGTACACCCCCGGTCCCCCTTGGTCGGGTACACCCCCGGCCCCCCCTTGATCGGGTACACCCCCGGCCCCCCCTTGGTCGGGTACACCCCCGGTCCCTCTTGGTCGGGTACACCCCCGGCCCCCTTGGTCGGGTACACCCCCGGCCCCCTTGGCCTTGGTCGGGTACACCCCCGGCCGCTCTGGTCGGGAAGAAGACTCTACATCCCATACATACCTTCTTAACTTGTCTGTTGTAAAGGTGTGCTATATCGTTAGGGTTCCTGATGGCTGAAACTGCCATTTTACAACGAGCTACTGTCACAACATGTCACGTGGTCATATGTCACGTGGTCTCTGGTTTCTCTAGTACTATGGTGTTATGTGGTGGTTTAGGGTTCTGGTTTAAAGGGTTTATACAGTTTGTTTCTCTGTTAAAATACAAGTGTTTCTAGTTTAGTTTCTAATCAGTTAAGACTTCAGGTGAGTAAATTAGCGATCTTCATTGTTGTTTTAGTGTCATTTTAGGTTTATGAGTCAAGTGAGAAACAAATATTAATGCAGAAAGGTTTTAAGTTTTTATTTACAAAGATTATTTATTATATTTAGAATATTTAAACGAGTATAGAATTTAGCAGATTTTATAAGTTTTAAACAATAAGATATTAAAACATGATTAACTTAATAAAAGCACATAAAAGTTAAGATATAAACAGATTTCAAATTCGACTTTAATTCGAAAATCGGAATTGACTAAATATTTACAGATTATTGACAAAGAAATAAGAAACACACAGCAAGTTAAAATAACGTAAAATAATAACACAAATTGTTTAGATTGGCGTAATTGGCTTCACAGAACTTAAAATGTAAGAAATTAGAAATTATAGATTAAATAACAAAGATCTAGATAACAGATCGACAAACAGGTTTACAGTAAAACTCCAACTCAGCTCATACCGGACCAAATTACACAGCACCGGACAAGTAAATTCCGGAATTTCATGTCCGGCGAAATCCAATTGTGTACAACCATTTTGAGAAAAGATTGCCCGGCATTTGTGCATTTGCTTGGAAGTTTAAACTAACTCGAAGTTGGAAGTTTCGCTGTTATTTTATAAAGATTACACAAAATTAGAACACGTTAAAAGTTAAAATAGATTTAAAAAGAACACATTTAGTAAAAATACATTTAAAAAGATCACAAGAATAGATAAAAGCATAACATAAGACTTACTTTAAGCAAATAAATTCAAGAATAATAGAAAACACATTTAATGAAATAAACAACATGCTATATTGGGGTCCTATAAATAGACATCGGACCCAGATTTCATTAGATTAAAGAAAATAAAATTACATTATACATCTTAATATATCATTATTACAAATAATATATATTATTATTACAAAACGGAGTTATTTTTAACTAGGTGTTTAAAATAGATTTTGTAATTCAAATAATAATTCAATCTTTCCAAAGAGGAATAATATTCTTTATAAAATTCTTCAACAAAATAACAATTCTTCTCTAATTAACAATGCTCGAAAATAGTTCTATGGTTATTTCCATAACACATACTCTAACATTTGTGTTGACAAACACAATAACAATTTCTTCATATATAGCTACCTAAACACTATATCATGTAAAATCCATCTTTAAATAAAAGTACAGAGCAGTAGAGCATGAGCAGTAATATCCTAAAACAGACAGATAAAATAAATTGAAAGACTAAAATAGTATTAGTAGAATTGAGTTACTATTAGTGCTACACTCAAAAGAAAGACGATGTAAAGATCACGCACAGTAGTCAGTATAGTAGTCAGTAATGATGATTAATCTCACATGACACTATATCACAATATTTTATCAACAAAGTTCATTAACTTCTTTCCCAAAACATCAATTATTGCTAGGCAGTTATTGCTAGACAGTTGTTGTTACTAGGCACATCAGTTGTTGTTGCTAGGCACAACAGTTGTTGTTGCTAGGCACAGTTGTTGTTGCTAGGCACAATTGCAACATATTCCTCAACCTCCAGGGGCAGGACTTGGTAAAACAAATCATCCAGATCCATCTTAATAGACTGCTGCAGACCTGGGTCCAGCTTGACTAGCTTCCAGCAATGGAACCTGATCAGGTCCTCTCTAGAGGCCCACACACCATCAGAGGCGTTCTCCATGACCGCCTTTATGTTAAACCTTGTCCTGATAGCTTCAGGTGCATCGGACTTAGGGTCAGCTAAATCAGCAGCCTTGTAGACAACCTTGTTGTTTGTAGCTCCTCCACTTTTACGTTCTGGGTCGATGGGTTTGGGACGCAAAACTAGCTTCTTTAACTCCAACAAGACAATGTTACTGACATCAACAAAACACCGTCGGAACGCTTCACTGTCGAACTTATCAATTGTAAAGTCGTAAACCAGATCGTTTGCTTTCTGTGCCATACAGATCAGAGCCAGTCTGACGTCATCACAGTCCGGCATGAACCTCAGAGTGCTCATCTCGTTCAGCACCCTCCCGAACGGTATCCGGACATCAAACCCAACCTCCTTGTTGCAGAAGTACTTTCGGGTGATCAGATCGAATTTCTTGACAATTCCCAAACACAAGGAAATGTCCGGGTGACCAAAGTCGGACTCCAGCACAACAAAGTCCTCCGCTACGTATTTGAAGTTGAGGACTTTGCCGCCGCTTTTGCCTCCGCTTTTTTCAGTGGCTTTGTCGGTCCCGGAGTTCTGTCGACCGAATGCGTGGTCCACCATAGAGTTCCTCCTTGCAATAGACTTTTCCACAACGGAAAACATGGCTGGTTCTATGATCTATAGGTATTTTTACGATCTATAAGTATTTGTATGATCTAAAAGCATTTTGTATCTAAAAGTATTTTTATTTCATGGTCTATTTTTATGATCTAAAAGTATTTTTATGAAAATTATCAACTTGAGTAGTTAATTCTGAAGGTTGTTTAAAAACGACGGTTCAATACGTGAAAATTCGAATTATACTGACTTCGATATGAAAATAATAACGTCAAATATGAAGGGGAGAGGAAGGCTGACTCCAAAAGGGAACAGCACAGTAAAAGGACGTTACCAACAAATGTGTAGGTACAGACTAGTAAGTAGGTCTGGAGGGGGAAGGTATGTACTTATATCATAAGTGGTACACTGTAACAATGAAAGCATCGTGACGTTGAGATGAATCTCTACATCTAACACAACAATAGCCCCCGGCTACCAACTCAATAATGCAAATTGTAAGAGCGGTACCTAGTACAATATCTCCCAGTAAAGCTCCGCTACAATGCAAATTGTAAGAGCGGTACCTAGTACAATATCTCCCAGAATAAAGAGAAAGCTCATACTCAGCTATGAAAGTGACGTGACGTTGAGATGAATCTCACAACAATAGCCCCCAAGTACAAGTTCCCACTCAAATTCAATAATGCAAATTGTAAGAGCGGTATCTAGTACAATATCTCTCAGTAAAGCTCCGCTACAATGCAATAATATCCCCCAGTAGAAAGAGAAAGCTCATACTCAGCTACAAGACACTCAGCTACAAGACACTCAGCTACAAGACACTCAGCTACAAGGCACTCAGCTACAAGACACTCAGCTACAAGACACTCAGCTACAAGACACTCAGCTACAAGACACTCAGCTACAAGACACTCAGCTACAAGACACTCAGCTACAAGACACTCAGCTACAAGACACTCAGCTACAAGACACTCAGCTACAAGACACTCAGCTACAAGACACTCAGCTACAAGACACTCAGCTACAAGACACTCAGCTACAAGACACTCAGCTACAAGACACTCAGCTACAAGACACTCAGCTACAAGACACTCAGCTACAAGACACTCAGCTACAAGACACTCAGCTACAAGACACTCAGCTACAAGACACTCAGCTACAAGACACTCAGCTACAAGACACTCAGCTACAAGACACTCAGCTACAAGACACTCAGCTACAAGACACTCAGCTACAAGACACTCAGCTACAAGACACTCAGCTACAAGACACTCAGCTACAAGACACTCAGCTACAAGACACTCAGCTACAAGACACTCAGCTACAAGACACTCAGCTACAAGACACTCAGCTACAAGACACTCAGCTACAAGACACTCAGCTACAAGACACTCAGCTACAAGACACTCAGCTACAAGACACTCAGCTACAAGACACTCAGCTACAAGACACTCAGCTGCAAGACACTCAGCTACAAGACACTCAGCTACAAGACACTCAGCTACAAGACACTCAGCTACAAGACACGGGGGACATATTCTAATAATACTCGGTGTGATGAAGGGAATTAGTGACAGGTAAAATTTGATTAACTTGCAGGTGAAGGTTCCTGGTGGAGAGAGACAACCATTTAATTTCAGATTTCATCAGTTTGCTTGGGTGGGCATTGATATTTGGGCCAACATCACAACCCGTGTACATTATATAATATATATACATAACCCGATTATAACAAAATAGACCGTTGAAAAGGCATTAACGTTATAAATATAGTTCACTACCTTTGGCTTTAGCAAGGGACCCCCCCCCCCCCCCCCCCCCCAAGGACCACTATAAATTATCCGCATGTCAGATCAAATTAAAAGTAGAGAGGAAATAAGTTATAACTTACCTTATCAGTATTAATCTATTGGGTTAATGTTTAGCGGCTAAATCATTAATAACGTTTTTGGTAAAACAACCACCGTAAACCCGTTAATGAGTTTTTAGAATTATACTGCACCTGCTAGTAAAAATATTTTAAAAGAACTGGACGGTTACACCTATGAAAGCTACGGCCATTACTGAAAGTATGAAAGCTACGGCCATTACTGGAAGTATGAAAGCTACGGCCATTACTGAAAGTATGAAAGCTACGGCCATAACAGCTACAATATAACCATATACTAAATAGACTTTACTAGTGTAGCAAAGTAAACTCTACTACTTATACAGAAGAGTTGTAAGAACATTCTAGACTATCTAACTAGCCGTTTTTAACAATTGCAGCACTTTTCTAATGTTGTCCTCATCAAGTTCATCAACAAGTACTAGTGTGTCAGTACATTTAAAGAAAGAGCTCTAACGTTGAACTCTAATGTTGAACTCTAATGTTGAACTCTAATGTGAACTCTAATGTTGAACCCTAATGTTGAACTCTAACGTTGAACTCTAACGTTGAACTCTAATGTGAACTCTAATGTTGACCCTAATGTTGAACTCTAACGTTGAACTCCTTCAATTGTTATCACTATTATCACAATTATTATCGGGTCTGTAAAATGAATAAGAATTACCAAAACCACTAAAGAGTAAAGAGCAGTACAAACATTACAAAAATAAGGAAA